CCTCTCACCTCCTCAGTCAGGCCTTGCTGAAGCCAGTCCATTCTCTCAGACAAGGTCCCTCTGCGAGCCTATCACTCAGCAGGTCAGAGTCTCCCTTCTTCCAAAAATCAGAACTTTCTTCCATTCCACATTCCCTTTCTGATACTGCTGCCTCTCTCTTTTCTTTCAACACAAAACTTCTTGAAAGTTATCTACTGTCAGTTTCATTTTCTTACCCTCCTCCTCTCTCTTCAAGCTTCTGCTCCTAACCTTGCCTTTGAAACTGTCCTTACCAAAATCGTTAATGACCTTACTTTGCAAAATCCAAAATGCAATTTCTGGATTTCATTTATTTGGCCCTTTGACACCAATTGACATGCTGACCTCTGCCGCTGCCCCCCCCCCCCCCCCCCCCCCCCCCCCCCGGCAAATACCCTACTCCTTCCCACTGCATGACAGCATTCCCTCCTGTTTCCCTTCTGTTTCTCTGGTCATACCTTCTCAGTTTCCTTATACAAGTCTCTTCAAGATTGGTGTGCCTCAGGATTTGGGACTTGGCTCTTAGCTTTTCTTATACATTCTCCCTGAACAAGCTTACCCATTTCTATTGCCTCAATTTCTAACTATATGCCGATAATGACTCTCAAATAGGTATTTACAGTCTCTGCTTAGCTGCGGTCTCTCCTTAGCTGCGGTCTTGTACGTCCAATGTCTTGTTAGACATTTCCACTTGGATGTTCCACAGTATGTCAAATACAGTAAAGTCTAAAATTGAACTTATTATTGCCCCCACGTCTATGGTAATAAGCAGTACTGCCATCCACCAATTTGCCCATATTAGAAATCTGGGCCTCAACCTTCATTTCTTTATCTTCATTCCCAACATCCAATCAATGTCTATGTCCTTTGGATTTTATTCCGTTTATATCTCTTGATTCCAAGCACACGGCTCCATCCCCATGATGATTATCCCATCCAGGCTGCTCTCACTTCTCACCTAGACATTTTAATTCCTTCTTAACCGGGCCTCCTGACTCTAGGTTTGCTTCTTTCCAACATTTTTCCCACATGGAAGACAGATTTTTCTAAAATGCAAATCTGAATATGTCAGTCCTCTACTCAAAACCCTTCAATAACAACCACTTATTACCCTTAAGATCTCAGGCTTTATGGTGGACTAAAGTTACCCTTGCACTGCAATAAACTAGATTCTGGATAAAAGTCACCTCATTCCCTCCTCCAAAAACGTAAGCAGAGGCTAAAGGAGTAGGGTTATCCTAAGGGGTGATGTTAACAGCAATGCTGCTGAAACACTTAACTTTGGGCCAGTGGTGAAGTGGGAGAACTAATCGTGGGACTCTTGATACTGAGCTGGGATCCTTGCAAGGTATGCTAAAGTATTCCAGGTCAGAAGTGGCCCTTGACTACTGGCAGAAACTAAAAAAAAGTTAATCCCCTCTAGAGGGAAGCTCCAACCTAACCTGACAGAATTCCCATGGATTAAAAGAAAAAAAGTGAGCTCACAATTAAAAATCAACAAGCACATGGAAAGGCAAGCACTATGAGAGTCAGAAGAAACAAAGATGTAAATCCTCAAGGACTACAAGTACTAGAATAGTCAGATGAAGAATACAAAAGAACCATATATTAATACTTAAAGAAATAAAAGGCACAGGGGCGCTTGGGTGGCTCAGTGGGTTAAGTGTCTACTTTGGCTCAGGTCATGACCTCAGGGTCCTGGGATCAAGCCCCCGTGTTGGGCTCCATGTTCAGCGGGTAGTATACTTGAGGATTCTCTTTCTCCCTCTTCCTGCCCTTCCCCCACTTGTGCACGCAGGCTCTCACTTTCTCTCTCTCAAATAAGTAAATAAACCTTTAAAAAATAAAGAAATAAAAGGCACAATGACAAGGATGTACAAATACTATTGAAAAGAGACAGATTTGGGGGGAAAACTTGTAAAAATGTAAAATGGCTTTGAAACAAAGAACTCCATGAATGGGCTGAATAGCAGATTAGAGTGAGCTGGAGAGAGAATTAATGACTTGTTAGATAATATATCTGAAGAAATTTCCTGGAATTCTATGAGATTAAGGAGATAGGATGATGACTGATAAGCTAAGGGGTTTGGAAAATAAAAGGCTTAACATACTTCTAACTGTAGAATCCCAAAATGAAGGAATAGTGAGAATGAGAGAGAACCACTTTTGATGAGATAATGGCTGTAAAATTTCTATAAATGAACATAAATCTGCAGATCCAGGAAGTAAAATATATGAGAAATACGTGCTACAGTAGCCAGTCTACTAATAACCTCCAATGATCCTTACCTTTTGGTATTCATAACCTGTATGCAGTTGCCCCCCCAGATTTTACCTGGGTTGGTCTGTGTGAGCAACAGAATATGACAGAAGTGACAGCATGCCACTTCCAAGATTAGTTATGAAAGACACTGTGGCATCCATCTTGGTTGTTCTCTCTTGGATCACTTGTTCTGGGGAAAGTCAGCTGCCATGTCATGAGCAGCTATAAGGAGAAGCCCACATGATGAGGAACTGAGGCTTCCTACCAGCAGTCCTGTGAGTGAGCCATTTTGAGATGTTCAAGCCCTGGTGAAGCTTTCAGATGACTACAGCCCCAGCCAACAGCTTGACTGTAACCTCTTTAGAGACCGTGAACTAGAACCACCCAAATAAGCAGCTTCCAGATTCCTGACTCTCAGAAAAACTATGTGAGATAACAAATACTTAAGCTGCTAAATTTGGGGGGAATTTTTACCCAGGGATAGATAACTAATACACACACTAAGACCAAGCAGACTTACAAAGAGCCTTCTCCATCTGGTCAAGATTGTTTCTCCAGTTTCACTTCTTGCCACACTCTTTCCAGCTTATTACATTTCAAACACACCAAACTTCTAGTTTCTGGAATACATCATGTTCTCCCCCACCTCCAGCCCTCCATACAGCTCACATGATGTTACCCACTGCCTAACATGTTCTTCAACACCTTCTTCTCTACTTCCAACGCGTATACTCTGTTGGCTAGCTTCTACCCATCATCAGAGCACTCATCACACTGTATGATAAAGTCTTGTTAAATTGTCTGTCCTTCCATTAGACTGCAGGATCCAAAAAGGTGGGGACAATATCTGTCTCCTTCATTATTACGCCAACACAGTTCCTAGCACAAAGAAAGTAGTCCATAAATATGTGTCCCTTATAGCCCACAGGATAGGGACAGGCAGGAGGCTAAAGGTGGAAAAATGTAAACATTCTCAGGCAGTGATCCAAATGAATCTTCAGCCTAGCAACTGAAGTAACTACAAAGGAACCAAGAAACCCCTATATTCCATACAACCTCAGGTTTAGGGAGGGCTTGGGGTAGGGTCAGGACTCAAAAGTTGGATACGTTCCAGCTCCTCCTAAGTCAAACCAAGCGTTATGGTTTCATTATGATCCTTGAATTGAAATCTATGAACATTAGACACACACATTCTTAAAAACACACTCACAACTGTACTTAAAGAACAAATGGGAATAATTTTTTTTAAAGTAATCTCTATGTCCAAAGTGGGGATTGAACTCACAACCCTAAGATCAAGAGTCACATGCTCTACTGACTGAGCCAACCAGGTGCCCCACAAACAGAAATATATTTTTTAAAATGATCATCTGTTCTGTATTTGTAGGACAATTCCATTGATATTTAAGATCTGATCAGAAATGGTATTTGCGGCGTGTGCCGAAATATGAACATACACACACGTACATATATACATGTCATAAAATATTAATCACTAGTACCCTCTACTGGTGGAGATACCTTACCGGCTCATATGAATGGTCTTATTGCCCTCTAGTGACCACAACCTATAAAGAGAAAATCCAGCAGCAGATGGGAGAATCTCCTTGGCTATAACGATAGGGTTTTATGTTCTTTAAGCATCTAATTTTCTCAGATTCTGGTTTATATTACAGGGGTGCAACTCTCCAGACTCTTGGGGGGCCCTCCGGGGGATTTCACATAGCTCTTGCCAGCTGTTAGCACCAGTCTGAAGCTGCTCTCTCTTCTGCTTCTCATGCGCAAGAGGTCAAGGGGAGGCAGAGAAGGCAATGGTTGCGCTAGCGAGGCCAACAACAGCAGCTGTGAATGACTACCTTGGGCTCCCTAGGGAGTTGGGAGCAGCTTGAGGAACACATGTTGGCCCTCCCCGAATATTATTCACAGTTGTGTACTGTACTAAAGTGGCAATTCAACGAAGTCCCTGACTTACCTTTTAAGTATCTCAGTGCTATAATAAATGATGTAGCGGCAAATGTTGCAATCATTTTGTTTTTACAAACCACACTCTGCAAGTTATTTCTACTCAAGACAGAAAAGCCCAGATTTAACATCAAGATCTAGCTGAAATGTCCTCTCTTCTACGAAGCCTTTTCTGAATCCCCCAGATGTAAGTGACTGCTCTGTCCTTGGTGCCAGCACGTACCTTGTACAGATCAGAATGACATCCAGGATACTATTTATAGGCTTTTGTTTATAACCTACAGTATTTTCTGCTCCTGATCGTCTACATGCTTGTTTCTCCCACCAAACCCTAAGTTCCTAGAGGTCATAAACCATGTGTCAGACATTTCTGAACACCCAGCAGCAAACACACTCAAAAAGTTATCCTTAGATCACTGTTGGTTACCAAGCCATGAGTTAAGTACAGAAACTGAAGTAAGCATTTAGAAACTTTGAAAGCAATTTGACAGAGTAATTCTGTATCTGTTGAATCTAAAACAACAAAAAAAAAGCGGGGCATGTATTTTGTATATTTTCTTTTTCTGGCAATTTTTATTATATATCATAAAAATATTCGTCTGCAACCAATGGAGAATTTTTTAAACAATAGTCCTTCATCACAGATAGTTTGAGAAGTGCTGATATGATAAACAACTTAATGTTTGAGGGAGGAAGAAAAGGATGAAGGAAGGAGACAAAATATAAGCACTTTTCATAAAATTCAGAAAGAACATACCTATCCTTGTGGATTTTAACACTTCCCTGGAAGGTATTTTCTTCTTTAATTCTCGTAAAGCTTCAATGAGATTCTCTCTGGTCTGATCAGGAAGCTCCAACATAGTTTTCCATCTTTTTATGTCTTCTATAACCACAACTCTCTGGGAAAAAGAAAAGTCATTTGGAAAATGGAACATTTTCATTAGAAAAACATCTGCTTTCACCTGAGCTAATGGGGCTCCTATTGACATATGAATTATTGATTATGACCTGAACCAAAGCACAGTGTGTATGATGGCCCCAAATGATGGGTAATTGCTTAAAAGCAGGTCCCGCTTACTGCAAATCAGGAAGAGAGTTACATCTATTAGGAAAAGTGCAAGTTTTAATCTAACCATGTCAGACACCGCTGGGCACTTAGCAGAGAGAGGCAATAAGGATGAGAAGAAAAGAAAAACGATACTAAGGTGAATCAACCCTACAGCTCACTTAAGTGTCTTAATTCACAGGCAAGGACAGAGAGCAAGGAAGTCATAAAGGCATATTTATTTCAACAATAAAAAGCTTTCTTCAACAGCTCCCCACTTCCTAGATGATAAAATTCAAACTCTCTTATTTGAAAAAAATTTTAAAACTTCAAACACATAAAAAGGTAGAATATTTATAATCGGAAAAAGTTAACATTTTGCTGTTTTGCATAAAGTAACAAAACAGTCTAAAGTTTGTCTCCTTACATCCTTCACTAAACTCATTCCTCTCCTGTTTCTAAAAGAAATCACCAACTTAAAGTTGATACACATCTTTGCATTAAGTGTAAAATATAAACAAGGAATCTGGGTGAAGGGGATGGGGAAGTTCTTTGTGATCTTGCAACTGTCCTGTAATTGTGAAATTATTTTGACTAAGAATTAAAAAAATTAACATGAAAGATAAAATAATAAAGTTGCTTTTATAGTTACCAAAAGAAATCTTATCTTGCATGGTTACTACCCTGGGGTAGGTAGGCCCAGTTAGGGAAAGGAAGAAGGCACAGTGCGCTTCTGGGATTCCAGTAATGTTTCTTGATCTGGATACTGGTGACACAGGTGTGTTCACTTTGTGAAAATCTGTCAAAATGTACACCCATGATTTGTCCACTTTTCTATATGCAGATTATAGTTCAATAAGAAGCAACTAAAAAAAAAAAGTCTCAATTCCCTTCCCTGGCTGGGGTCTGCTTCCAGCCTAGCAGCCCACGGTGGGAGATGTCTGACTCCTCTCCCCATCTTTGCTTCCCTTGCTCCCCCATCTGCTTGTTTGCTTTGACCTCTGACCCTTCCAAGTTTGAAGATGGGAAGAGGCGCGGTAAGGGACAGGGAAAGCCTTCCCTTCTTTTGTGATACTCCACTAATCAGGTTTTAGTGTGCTTTCTAGACTCAGCAGATGTGTAAAGCTAACCCTTTCTTGTATGGGATGCTTCTGTGGTTCCCTGAAGAGCTCCCGTTGTTGAGACCTCACCTGCAGTTCTGGTAATGTTGGCAAGGCCTCTTCCAGCCAGCCGATTACAAGTCCCCGGTTTTTGGCAAACCACTTTACACAGACTTTCTATAGGGGTGTCACTGTCCTTCCAAGGATCCTTGTGAACCTAAGCCCTTTATTTCTACTCCAGGCCAGCCAGCATTTTCTCTGCTGTACCCACACCTTTGCCCTGAAGACTTCTAAGGGTTAACAGCTTTCCTATACAGCCACTCTGTTTTTAGACTTTCCCAGGCATAGGTCTGGTCTCTGTGTCCACCAGCTCCAGGAACAGAGGTCAAGTTCTCCAAGTGAAAATACCACTGCCCTCCCACTTTGTCCAAAGGAGCTCTCTCTCCTCTCTTCCTTTATTTTTTTCCTCCTCTGATACGTTCAGGATTCCAAAATTGGTTTTCACGTACTGCTTTCATAAGTTCTGCAGTCTAGAATCTCATTTGGGAACACTCTGCTTTGTTCTCAGCCTTTAGGTGCTTTAGCCAAAAAATGCGACAAGTCCTTTGTTATGATCTGCTACAGTACAAAGCAGTATCATTAGTGTTAAATGGTATGTAAAATAAATAAATGAAACCAGGTAAGGGGATATTTTCAATAGGAAGAAGGTGTAAAGTATAAATATCATATCATTCTGCAAAAGGCTTTTTTCACTCATTTTATTTTCTCGATTCATTCATACTGATATACATAAACCCAGTTGATCCATTTAATAGTAATGAATAGTATTCCATTATTTTTATATATAAATGTCTTAGAATTCTAAAATCGACTCCCCTAATGGATATTTAGGGTACTCCCCACCTAATATTTTTTCCAGTTATAAACACTGCTTGGATGAATTCCTGCCTATGACACATTCAATATTGTCTTCCATCTCTTTCAACGTTTCTGGGTCATTATGCTTAAAATAGCCTATGGTGGCTTTATTTTGCCCCCATCCACCATCCAATCTGAGAATCTCTGTCTTTTAACAGGCATGCCTAATCCATTTGCATTTATGATGGTTACTGATATAACTGGATACACTTCCTCTTTGCTTCTTTTTCTTTTCCTATCTTTGATTTTAACAGTTTAAGTTTTCTTTGCTCTTGTTCTTCTTTATGGTTTGGAAATGATACACTCTACTGCTATCATTTTAGTGTTCATCCTTTCAATTTTTAAGATGTATGCTCAGTGAAATCTGTATCAGTATCCTCCTTATAAGCCTCTACTGTAGAAACCCCTATTAGAAATATAAACGACTGTTGGGCGCCTGGGTGGCTCAGATGGTTAAGCGTCTGCCTTCGACTCAGGTCATGATCCCAGGGTCCTGGGATCGAGTCCCGCATCAGGCTCCCTGCTCCTTGGGAGCCTGCTTCTCCCTCTGCCTCTCTCTCTCTCTCTCTCTCTCTCTCTCTCTGTCTCTCATGAATAAATAAATAAAATCTTTAAAAAAAAAAAAAGAAATATAAACGACTGTTTGTCCTTCGTGTACCTTAACTGTTCTTTCATATTTTTCTCTATCTGTGACGCAGTCTAAGTGATTTCCTCACATCGAGCTTCCAATCCACTATTTCTGTGACGCAGTCTCAGTGATTTCCTCACATCGAGTTTCCAATCCACTATTTCTCTGTGACGCAGTCTAAGTGATTTCCTCACATTGAGCTTCCAATCCACTATTTCTCTCTGTAGCTATAGCCTGTCTACTTTTAACCTATTTAATGTGTTTCTGCGTCAGCAATTTTTTCATCAGATGACTTAATATTTTCCTCAAAATCTGCCCACTTTCTTTTCATACTATCCTGTTCTTTTCTTATACTGTCTAACGTCTTTTCTTTATCACTGTGAAAATTCCCATAAAGATCTCTTTGAGGTTGTACTCTTATCACCACTTCTTGGGGTAGAAATGCTATTATTTATCTCTGTCTGCTCATTCTCCCTCTGGGAAATGAATTTTCTTGGAGAGTTTGTAATTCTGACCGTGAGTTCATCTTTAATGGAAACTGTTCTCTATGGGAATCTGGTGCCCTAGGTTGTGAGGTGTTTTAACAGGGAAATCTCACATTTGCCTTGGCCAAAGCCTCTAGATTTCTCTGTTTCTATACCAGTTTTTATGCTATTTTTTTTTTCAGTTTTGCCCAGAGTATAAATTTAAAACTATGCATAGTAATAAGTGTCAGGTTCTAATTTATTGTAGTTAATTCTTTTCCATCCCAAACCCCTGAGAAGATCACAGTCTTCATGCTGTTTCCTTGGACTTGTGGATGGAATTTTTCAAGTTCATTTTTCACAAACATGGTAGACCTGTTTTGGCTCCCAGCTGCAAGTCGGAATTGTTAGCCTGAGGCCTTATCTGCAGTTCCTATACTGGCCCTAATACCTCACACCCCAAGCATTATAAATGGTTTCATAAAACTGTTTAGCTTCAGCTCCCACTTAAAGCTCAGGGTTTGAATTTCCTCTCTCTTCCTGGCATCTGAGGATTTCTCTTTCTTGCTTTCAAGCTCAGCTCTGTATTAGAGACTTTTTATCAGCATTACTACATGGTTGGAATGAGGTTAGGGATTCCACATCAGACCACTCCAGTATATGGAAACTATAGAAACCCAAACTCTAGCATGGCATAAAAGGCCTTACATGACTTGGCTCCTGACATCTTTTTCAGCCTCATAATTTGCTCCAGTTATAGAAAACTATTTGAAGCTGCCTAAATGAATTGCAGTATTTCACACCCCCTGCCTGGGATGCTCTTTTTTTTGCCTCAACCATATGATAAACACCTATTTATTTTAAGACTCTTCAAGCATCCCCTCTTCTGATGCCTTTCTTGACTCTCTCCTACCAAATCTGACCACACTCCCTTTTGGGTCCTCTGTAATGTGGACATACTTTTATTACTGTATCTGGATTTTATGCACATACTTTCTTATAAGGCTGTCTTCCCCTCTGACTATAGCCATTTGAGGGTTTGAACAATTTATTTGTCTCCCTCTCCCCAGTGCACAGTAGGTATAATTGAACAAAGCCATCTCTACCCTTAAGGACTGAAGTCCAGTATAGTTTTCAGATCTGAAATTTTAGGTCAGAAATAGAAAAATCTACAGTCAATTCCAGAACAGTAGAATTCCATATATATCCAAGAATGTTTCCTTATTTCTGTCCAAATATGGGTCCCAAAACCGGTATTTCAAGTTGTTCTCTGAATTATTTAGAGGAACAAGGGAGTGGACACAAGGTATCAAAGGGGGAGCTACACAAGTAGTGGAAAGGTTATCACCAGAAAGAAAATGTGCCTTCTCCTATACCATCTGGTCTTAAGTTGTGGATGGCTGGAACATCAAGTTTGACAAGTTGGAAACCATCCCACCAGAGGGAGCAGGGGACAATCTATTGGCTGCTCAATCCTACAAAAGGATCAAAGGTTTACAGAGCATTCTCAAGTACTAAACCTGAAAGAATTAGCACATCCTAGAATCTTAAAAAAAAAATCTCCGATTGCAACCAACAGAACAAATCACCTTCCCTTAAAGGGAGTAAGAAGAGATTAACCAAATTAACCGTTACCATTCAAATGTATACTACACGAGCTCTATTGGGTCTCACTTTCATTCAATGTGATAAGGCTATGGCAAAATTACTTGTAATAAACCGATAACAGAAGTCCAATGTTCCTAATATTCCAAGACTGTTATACCTCCTATGCTTGACATTCAGAAATCTCCACTTTCTTAGTTCACCCTAGAGGGGGCAGACAGTGGAACCAGACTGTCTAGTTCCAATCCCAACTCTGCCACTTACAGCTGCATGACCTTGGGCAAGCTACTTAATCTCTCTGTGCCTTAGATTCTTCATCTCTAAAATCTAAATGATAAAAGCATCCATTTCACAGGGCCGTTATTAGAATTTAGAGAGTTAATGCATGCAAAGCACTTAGCACAATTCCTGGCCCATAGAAACGGGCTCATAAACGCTGGCAGTAATCATTACTGTCGCTCTCCTCATCACTGGTCCCGGCTCTAGTTTTCCTACACAAGCCTTTCCTTTTCCACACACGAAAATAGGAAATTATTGATCAGTTTTACTGCATGCCAGGCACAATGCTTAGCCCTTTTGATGTGCATTTATCTATTTAGCTCTCATAATAAATAAAGTTGTTTTGCAATAATATTTGTTAAATAGTTTACTACCCAGACCCTGCAAAGGCATCCCCAAATAAGAATGATTACTGTTTATTCAATAAATTTTTACCCACAATGTAGCAGGCACTGCGTTAGGTCTTGGAGCAGAATCAGAACCTAGTAAGATACCGTGATCCTCAGGAGTTTATAGTAGACTACAGAAAAGTATAAGTAATCTGATAATTAAAATACAGTGAGGTAAGTGCTACGAGAGATATTTGAACAAAGTACTAAGACAGTATTGAAGAGGGAAAGATTAATTCCCCCCAATGGACCCAGAAAGCACTTCAACATTCACTTATTTAACAAATACTTATTGACCACTTAATATGTGCCAAGCACTGTGATAGGTCCAAGGATACAGAAGTAAATAAAATTCCCAACATCCCTGTATTCATGAAATTTATAATCTAGGATTCACAGGGAAAGTCACACTTGAGTGGGTTCACAAATGAGTAGAGCAGTCTCCATAAAAAGAAAGAGAAAGGTTTTCCAGGAAAAGGGACCAGCATCAAGTCAAATCCCTGGAGACATGAAAGAGAATGATTCATACAGAGACCAATATATGGGGTGTGGCTGGAATACATTCTTGGAAAGGGGGAGCTATAAGGGATGGAATGAGAAGGCTCCCTGGGGTAGAACAGGAAGGGTCTCATATGCCATGCCAAGGCTTTTAGAGTTTTAGTTCATTCGGTCATTCAGAAAAATGCACTGTGATCTTCTATGTACCAAACCCTGTGCAGAGTACTGGGGACACAAAATTCAGTAAGATGTAGTCTTTCAAGAAGCTCAGAGTGTAGTGCGGTAGAGCATTTAAAAAAATACAATATAGCACAAATAAGGGCAATGACAGTGGCATGTTTAAGATACAGGGATGCATGGGATGCCTGGGTGGCTCAGTCGGTTAAGCATCTGCCTTCGGCTCAGGTCATGATCCCAAGGTCCTGGAATCAAGTCCCACATCGGGCTCCCTGCTCAGCGGGGAGCCTGCTTCTCCCTCTGCCTGCTGTTCCCCCTACTTGTGCTCTCTCTCCCTCTGACAGATAAATAAATAAAATCCTTTAAAAAAAAAAAAAGATACAGGGCTGGCTTAGAGAAGGGAGTGATTAGATTGGCTTTCTGTCTGGGGGACAGAAGGGTGATCAGGAAAAGCCTCACAGTAGAGGAGACACTTGAACTAGGTCATGGGGGACAAATAGGAAGTCATAAATTGATGATAACAGCAAACACGTGCACATTACTTAGTATGTGTCAGGTTCTGTTCCAAGCACTTTATATATATTGACTCACTCAACCTTCATAACTACCTTATAAAATAGATATTATCATTATAGATAAAGACACAGAGAGGTTAAGTAACTTGCCCAAGTCACACAAATAATAAGTGGCATGGCTGGGATTTAAACATAGGCAGTTTGGCTCCAGAGTCTGTGTTCTTAATTACCACACTATATTGCCACCAAGCCAAGAGAGTAAGGCCATTCCAGGCAAACAGGACAGCATATGCAAAGGTATGGAGGTATGAAACACCACACCATCATGGGGAAATTGTGAGTGGCTGACACTGGAGAGAATGTAAACAAGAAGAGCAGCAGGGGATGAGGCAGGCAGGTACCAGCTCACAGAGGGCCTTGGGTGCCATGTAAAGAAATGTCTTCATCGATAGGTAATGAGAAACCACTGAAGGATGAGGCAGGGAAGTGACCTGAGTAGATTGTCTTTTTTATTTCTCTGGCTTAAGTGTGGAAGGGAGAATGAGAGAGGATGCCAAAGGCAGAGAGACAAGTTACCAGACCACGGCACTGCTCTAGATGAGAGATTTTTATTTATTTATTTTTTATTTTTTTAAAAAGATTTTATTTATTCATTTGAGACACAGAGATACAGAGAGAGAGAGCATGAGCAGGGGGCGAGACAGAGGGAAAGGGAGAAGCAGGCTCCCCGTCGAGCCAGGAGCCCGATGTGGGGCTTGATCCCAGGACCCTGGGATCAGGACCCGAGCCGAAGGCAGACACTTAACCATCTGAGCCACCCAGGCGCCCCTAGATGAGAGTTTTAAATTTAAAGTGGGAGATGTAAGGACAAGGAGGATTTTTAGGAGGCAGAATTGAAAACTGGATATAAGAGTTAAGGATGGTTTCCAAGTTTCTAGTTCCAGTTACTTGGTATATGGATTTAAAAGTACATACAGGAGGGGGCACCTGGGTGGCTCAGTCGGTTAAGTGTCCGACTCTTGATTTCAGCTCAGGTCACGACCTCTGCACTGAGCATGGAGTCTGCTTAAGAGTCTCTCTCTCTCTCCCTCTCCCTCTGCCCCTCCCCTGCTCACACTCATGTGCTCTCTCTAAAAAAGTAAATAAAAATAAATAAGTAAATAAATAAAGTAAATACAGGAGAATAAAGAACAGGTTTGGAAGAAAAGCTACTGCATTTAAGAGGAATGTTATTCTCTCTACGCCTATTGCTTATTCTGCTTCCATAACCTTCATGATGTATCCTCTTCACACAAGGACTCTCAAATGGGGCATAAGTGGGGACACAGAGGGGAGAAGAGGCAGGTGGAAGTATATTAGAATCTGGATGTTTGTATATGAGTGTATGAGTAGTTCAATTACTACCCTTCTCTTTTTCTTCCAGTTTGGTATCACAATCCTGCCCACCACCATCTGTCTTTGAGAGTCACTGTTGTATACAACTCCATGAGTACTCTGACAAAACAGAGACAGTTGAAAATTTTGATTATGCACAGAACTCCAAGACCAGAAGAGATTTTTAAAGACCATCTAGAATTCAGCAGATCTCAACCAAAGGCTACCTGGAAATACATGAGGGCAGCTTTGCTTATCACAATGGGAGGTGCTGTTGGCATTTAGTGTCTGAAGGCCAGGGAGCGTCAATGTTCAGTAACTCACAGGACAGTTCCAAATAATGAAGAATTACCTTGCCCCAAATGACAACAATGTTCCTTTGAAGAAATACTAATAGGGGTGCCCGGGGGGCTCAGTCAGTTAAGTGCCTGCCTTCAGCTCAGGTTGTGATCCCAGGGTCCTGGAATGGAGCCCCATGGCGGGCTCCCTGCTCAGCAGAGAGTCTGCTTTCCGTCTCCCTCTGCCCCTCCACCCTGGCTCACGCTCTCTCTCTCAAATAAATAAATAAAATCTTAAAAACAAAATACTGATAAAGTTCGACCCCCACATTTTACAGATGAGGACAAAGTGAGATCCTAGGTAAGGAAATGATTTGCTAAAGACCACCCAGTTGCACTGGAGGGCCTAGAACTCAGGGCTTCTGTTTATACAACCCTGCACTGCTTTCTAATCTGGGTCTGGTAACCCTGTGGCACATCTAGAAGAGGAGTCCAACTGAGTACATAGGTCAAGTGCTCAGAACGCCACCTTGCTATCACAGCCCTGTGCACACCTTCTCTAGCCCCAGATATCATTCTCACCGTCAGAGATCTAGGCTCGAAGTACAAGTCTGGCAGTCATCAGCACGGGAAGCCTTAAGACAAATAAGGTTACCCTGGCCAAATACATAAAATATGACGAAGCTCTGGGGAGCACAAATATTAGGAGTCTGGTGGAGGAGGAGAAACCAACAAAGGAAACTGAAAAGAAAAGACCAGAAATGTAAAAGGTCAAGGAGGCAAAGGGAACCAATTACAAATATGTTTGTTTTTAGTGAAATAATTTTTACTTTATCATTAATTGGGTACCCATGTCCATTGATTCATTATTGTCTATCTTGTATTTATTCCTTGCCTCTTCTTTGTGAACAGAAATCAGACATGTAAAGGTTGCAAAGAGTCCATTAACACAGTCTGTTTCCCAGTCTCAACTATAGCTGTGAAGGCCATGTGATACAGCTCTGGCCAATAAGACAAGAAATCACCACCCAGCCTTACTGAGTTTGTACAGAGTACACAGAATCATATTTCGTACTTTAACATTCCTAACAGACAAGAAAATCTTGCAAAAAAAATAACTTAGGGGGCTTGTTCTCTCAGCCAGCAAAACATACCATACAGCCAAAGTAATCAGAAAAGTAAGAAAAGTGCATGTGGGAATTGATAAATGAAAGTCTGTACAGAGTAGGGAGGAAACAAATTAGGAGTGGTCCGGAACACTTTGGGGAGAAAGCATAGCAAGAAAGAATTCATAGGTCTTCCATAGTAGAACTCCGCACCGCCTTGCTACCACAGTCCTTTCCACATTTTCTCTAGCCCCAGATCCCCTCTCCCTCTCACCTTCAGAGATTCAATCGTGGCCTGCTTGTAAATCTTTCCACCAGGATCTTTCTTCTGAGGACTATTTTGGATTCTAGGCGTTCGAATGACGAATTTATCCATTGCTAGAGGACTGCCAACTACCTTCACGTGCTTGCAGCGCTTTCTGCTCAAGAAAGAGGGAAGATTCTAAAACGTCATAACAACTGCTGTGATGTGTTCTCCCTAAAGTGACACAATGGACTTCTATTCTATTCTGGAAGCATTTCTGAATTATGAGGACTGTTGGGTAGAATTTACAGGAAAGAAAATTTCGTCTTGGAAAAGAAATATCTTCCTAAGAACTGAAACTGTTACACATGATCGGTGTAATTCCTGGGTTAGGAGGTGCCCAGCTTTCAGTAGTGCACGCTGTGCAGGGGATTCCAATATTGGGCCAGGCATTGAACCCGGTGACTTCTAAAAGCCTTTTTCAACTTAGGTGAGGTTGAGGCAGGGTTTAGTTCCACTGGGTTCCATGAGGCTCAATATTAACAACCACTCCACCATAATCACAATCCCAAAGGTCCCCCTAGTAACGAGCAACCAACCACCACCTCCAGATCCCAGCGGGATTTTCACAACAAGCAGCCATCTCCAGGAACTGCTCGGTGGTCCCAGGACCCCACCACGAACTGTCGCGCCCTGGATCACTGCGCAAAGGGAAAACACCATCTTCCTCTACCCTCAGGACGCAGGACCCAGGAAGGGGAAACTAACAACGGTATGACGTGAGACCCACCACGAAAAGCAGCCCGGTCAGCAGCTGGACCCTTCCAGAGCACACCCTCTGAGGACCCACGCCTGGGCCGCCGGGGTCAGAATTATATTGACGCTTCCTTACTGGACGGTGGTTTCTCGGACCTCAGAGCGCCTTGGAACCTCCGCAAACCACATTCCCCAGCATGCACTGCAAAGGAGCGGGTGAGGCGCGCCCAGGGCGACTGTAGTTCTCCGAGACCGACTTTCCCGGCCCCACCGTGTGCAGCCGGTCGCAGTGAACTACATGCCCCAGCGTGCCCCGCGGAGGGAAGGACTCAGGGAAGGCTTGTTCGCTCTAATACTCGCGATGATTGGATCCATCTCTTCTTGCCAACCTAGAAGAAGTTCGTAGACCGGGAGGTGGGGCGGGAGGCGGCAGTTTTGGGCGGGTCAGGGCGGAGCTGAGGAGACGGCGGAGGCGGAAGCGGCGGCCTGAGGGGCGGGGAAGGGGCTGGCCCCGGAAGGCGGAGGAAACCCTGAAAAGAAAACAGCAACAAGCTGAGCTACTGTGACAGAGGGAAACAAAATGGCGGCGCCGAAGGGGAGCCTCTGGGTCAGGGCCCAGCTGGGGCTCCCGCCGCTGCTGCTGCTGACCATGGCCCTGGCCGGAGGCTCGGGGACCGCTTCGGCTGAAGCGTTTGACTCGATCTTGGGTGATACGGCGTCTTGTCACCGGGCCTGTCAGTTGACCTTCCCCTTGCATACCTACCCCAAGGTAGGGCCCGTCGGAACCGGGCTACGACCCTCCCCTGGCAGCCGATCTCTCCGCTCTCTCGCACTTGTGTCGGCTTGGGAAACTGGGTGTCGAATCCACACCCTACAACCGCTGTCTCCCACCTGTGTAGCTCCTGTTTTCTTCCCTAATTCTACCCGCACCCATCTCCTGCTGTAATTACCGGAAGTTTGTGCTGCATCGACCCTATAATAGGCTGGGGACGCAGAGATGAGCAAGACATGACCCCTTTCCCCTGGCAGTTAGCTGGGCGGCAGGGGAGACGAGCACTCCGATGGGGAGGAGGATATGGATGATTAATGCAGGGTCTTCACTTTCAAGGAGCGTAAGGGATGGTGGGGGGCAGGAGCAGATATGCAAGCCCACAAAAGGTTAGTTCATAACCCATGTTTACTGAGCGCCTCTCTGGGCCGGGAGCGCACAGTATGTTCTGGGAGTCAGACAAGCAGACAATTCCACCTTGGTATGAAATATATTAAGTCAGCCCTAGGAGTTGAGAGACGCAGAGGAAGAGCTTTCCGCCTGTGTTGAATTACTGTGTGCGAGACTGCCACTAGGGCTTGAGGGGGCTTAGAGAAAAAGCAATTAGGTTTCTGCATTCAGAGAACTTACCGTTCAGTGCAGAAGACAGAGGGAATTCGTGGCGCAGGTATAGAAATGAGACCGCCCCTGGGGGGGGTCGGGGTCCCAGTTTACCGAAGGGAGTGACCCTGCTTTCACTTCTCGTCCGCCTGCGGTTGATGCCTTTCCTTTAATTCCATTCTGCTTCTCAGGTTTTTTGTGTGTGTTTTTTTTTTCCAACTTAGGAACTCTGTTTACTCAACAGTGACTTCCCACCCTTTCCCATATATAATTTGGATATATGCGCCCTTCCCCCCACTTGCTTTTTTCGTAAGAGCTTTTGCTGTTGTTACTGGTCTTTTTCTCCTTGTATTCCTTTCATCTCCTCTGTGCTGTTGGCTTAACCGTGTGGCTAGCCCTCTTTGCGCTCTCAGACTACGAGGTGACCACGAGGAGAGGGCCAGTGAACTTTAGGATGTTCCTTATTGGCAAATGCTTTCAGGTCTTTGAAATGAAAAGTTCTAAATGCTTTCACTTCCCATATGTCTGTTTACTGCAGGATTTTATGTTGCATGGGGTTTATCAATTTTCAAGAAAAAGTGTGGGAGATTGATTATCCTAAAATTTTCAGTCAGACACCAGTTTAGCAATTAGGAGAAAGAAATGAGAGATTCTGACTTCCAGGTTTAAAACAATGTGTACTGCCCCCCTAAACACATTACTTTCTTCTCTACTTATAAGCCTGTCGTCATTAAGAAGGTATAAGGAAACTCACTAAGATTTATTTGGCCTGGCATTGAATGGAGACTTATTTTGTATTCTTTTAGTGTTTTCTTGTGTTTTTTTCCTTTTTTGAGATTTTCCTAGCAAACTTGTAGTATGACCCAGAATGCTGGGAAAATAACTAACTACTATAAATGTTTCTGGAAACTTCAAGTACTTTTATAACATCCACTATTTAACAGTTTTTAACAATTGATGTGATGTCTGTAAGTCATTTTTGCTTATTCATTAAAGCTGTTCTCACCAGGAACTCAAAGTCATTTGGCTCCCTGTATGTTAGATGGACTTAAAATTTATTAACTGTCTACTCTTTGTTAGCCAGTTTGATGGGAGATTTATACCCATTATCCCTAATTGTCATAACCATGCAAAGTAGGATTTTACAGTTGAGGCTCAGAAAGGTTAAGTGACTTGCCTAAGGTCACATAGCTAAGAAGTAGTGAAGTGGTAGGAATTCAGTCCTAAAACTGGCTACAGTGTGCTGCCTTCTATTAATAAAGTTGTTAGAAAAATATTTAATTTACTTATTTCACTGATTTCTATTGGCCCTCTGAATTACTGTGCTTGCAGTTCAGGAAAAAGCATTGTGTGTTACAGGAAATTAGATGAATTAAGAAGCTCACATAGCCTTTCAGTCTGGTATTTGCAACTGGAAGATAGAAATCTCATTTTAATGACTTTTTCGAATTAATTATTTGTTGCAAGAAAGTAGAATATCTGTTTGTAAGTAGTTATTTTAAAATTCCAATATAGTTACCATTTAACTTTCCTCAAAAATGCAGTTCCATAATTTGTCTGGATTCAAATACAAGAGACGTATGTTATGTTAACAGCAAAGCTAATTAGAGCCAACCTGGTCATTTTTAAAGAGTGTGGGTTCTGGAACCGTACAAGCCTGAGTTCCATTCCCAGCTCCACTTTTACTCTATGTGTATCTTTGCTGATCACTTAACTTCTCGCGACTTCATTTTGTCAACTGTAAAAAACAAAAACAAAAACAAAAACGCCTCACACCTTACAGAGCTGGTGTGAGGATTAAAGATAATGTACGTCGCACTCTTAGCACATAAAACCAGTTTGGTACATATAGTATCTGAATAATGGTGCTGAATAATGAGAATAGTTAGCTTGACTTACCTCTGGGAAAGAAAATGCATATATTCTATAAATAGTATCATTGGTGCTGAATAATGAGAATAGTTAGCTTGACTTAGCTCTGGGAAAGAAAATGCATATATTCTATAAATAGTATCATTGAGGTCCCTTCTGATTATTTAGCTGGCATTCAATTTGGTGGGAAGCACCATTTCCTTGTGCTCTAAATCAGAGGAGATACATTTCAGATAAGCTTGCCACTCATTTGAGATACATAGAGCAGGAAATACTTACTTAGGATAGTAATATTATCTAGTACATGAAACAGTTGGAATAAGGATATGATTCTTAATGGCTACCAATTGAGCCCCTACTCTGTGCTGGACATTGTATAATACCTTAAGTGTTAGCATGGTGTCTGGTACTTTGTGGGTGCTCATTAAATATATTATTACTATGCCGATTTATTAGCTCTTATAGCATAATATTCATGATATTGTGGACATAAAATGTATAATCCTCATCATAATCAAGATTGACATAAGAGTATTGTCCCCATCTTACAACCAAGGAAACTGAGACTGAGAGAGATTGTCACTTGCCCAAGGTTGTACAGAACAAGTGGTGGGGCTGAGCTTCAAAGCAGGACTGATTCCTGGACCTAGGCTCTTTGCAGCATGCCCTACTCTCTTTTGATAATGAGACTGGAGGGCTTTATTGGCTTGGTTTAAGAAAAGAAAACCTACCTGAAAATGAAATGGCATGCAATATAGCTCATATTAATGAGCTCAAGCTTCCTCTGTGCAGTATAAGGAGATATGTGATGCTCCAAATACATAAGAGAATTCTTCCACTGTTTTACAAAGCTGCAAAAGCTACTCAGGTATGAAATTTATCTTAATTGTTAAAATTCTTTCAGTTTCACCTTAACAATAAATGCAACTAGAACTGAGGTCCAAAAACACTCTAGCTTCAAAATTATATGTGACACTTGTTTAATGTCAGGCTGCAGCCATCTCTTCTAAATGGGTGTTGCTGCTGCATACATCTTACTAATCCTTCTGCTAGAAAGAAATGCATACTTTTCTCTTCCATTGATTGCTAACTGGTATATGCACATGCTGTTTGCTTCCTTATTAGGTGCCCGCCAATTTGTACACAGTGGATCACACAGTAAGTTGAGGGGGCTCCCCCACGTGTACTGGTTTGTGTCAAATACTGTATGTACTTCATCTAACAAAAACCTGTTGAAGACATTGTTATTGGTCTTATTAAGCAGTTAACATTTCCCCGTAATGAAGAATCGACCCTATCCTGAGCTCCCATAGATAGACAATGATGCCTGTAACTATTGTTTTCTGTTTTAAAAAAATATATTATTGTGATTAACACTACTACCATTTATTGAGCACCATCTGTGTCCCAGGCACTATACCAGGAATAGCTATGTGACAGCATTATTGAGGGGTTTGGAGATAATTTATAGCTATTATCTGCTTTTCTGATAAGAAAACTGAGATTTAGATTGGTAAAGTAATGTGCAGCGTCACTCACCTGAACGATTTTAATCCAGGTCTGGCTGATTCCAGAGGCCTTTCCCATACGCCACACTTGGTCTGGTTTGTGTTTTTAGTTAAAGTAAGCCAAGTTTAAAAGCGCCTTTCATGTAAGCATTTTTATAGATGTATGCCTCACTTTGTGGGGGCCTTTATGGCACTGTTTGCCATGTGAAGCTAGTCATTTTTTTCCTGAGAAGCCTGATGATTTGTATAAATATTTTATGTGGCAGAGGTATGCCATTCATCCTAAGATACTTGCTTATTCATTTCTACCTCTGTTAAAGTTCTAATTATGTCACTGTTATTTTTATTTTCAAATTTTTCCAACAAAATGTAACCTTGGAATATGGGAAAAGGGTATAGTTTTTTTTTTGCTTGTTTGTTTTTGTTTTTTTTTTACCCACTAGGCTTCTTTCTTGGGTATCACTTTTAAAATAAGAAACTAAACCTCTTTACATGGCAGAGGTCTTGGGTATTACCTGGCTTCTATCATATTTCTTTCTCTCTAAAAGTTATAAACTTTTATTGGACATTTTATAATAAACCCTACTAACTTTTTTTTCTTTTTGACCTTTTTTCCCCCCTGAGGGAAAAATACTATTTTTTTTTTTTTGGTAATCCTCCTTCTCTTGAACTCCCTAGGAAGAGGAGTTGTACGCATGTCAGAGAGGTTGCAGGCTGTTTTCAATTTGTCAATTTGTGGATGATGGAATTGATTTAAATCGGACCAAAATGGAATGTGAATCTGGTAAGATGCTATGCTAACAGTATATAACATTGTGGTTTTTGGGGGGTTGTGTTATGCTCCTTACATGTTTTCCTCAGAAAATGACAAGCATATTGTTTAAACTGATTTCTAGCATATTTTCATTATTATGAGGTTTGAGTTTTATCAGCTGCTGCTAGAAATTTCATGGACTATCAATTTCATCTCTAGGTTTCCCCTCTATAGGAAAGTAGAGCATTCCTTTGAAAACTTTCCTGAGCCAAAATGGCATAAAGCAAAGAAGCAGTTACCATTAATTTACATGGAAAAATTTTTGAGTGCTCTCGGGCCCCAAAAATAACCTCTCCTAGGCCTTTCTGATATCTTAGAACACATCTTGCGAAGAGGCACAACAAAAATCAAGAAAAAACACAGATGCTCACACAGTTCAAAGCTCTGGCGGCTGGATGCGGAGCAGTGTTCCCCAGGGAGGAGCTTGGCGGCGCCTCTCTTGCTGCTCGAGAGCGCGTGCTGCCTCTGTAATGGCTCGCTGCAAAACAAATGCTGAACTTTGTTTTTGCTTTCTTTTTCATAAAAGCATGAATCCTCTTTGGATTTCTTTTGGTTAGCAAAAATAGGTATGAACTCCTGAAAAGTGGGGGCTACTCCTATTTGTTGAGACAGTGTTGATTTTGTACTGTGGATAGGACACCTTTGTGTAACCAAGCATTCAGTTTAAATGCAGTAGTAATTACCCTTCTCATAATTCATCACTACCTTTTCAATGGATAGTATAATTTTCCTAAGCTTTTCAATCATAGGCCAGTTGATTTAGCTCAAGTTTTTTTTCACTGAATCAGGCCTTTGACTCACTATTTAATAGTGTATTCTTTGTGGGTCATGCCGATAAAAGAAGTAACCAGAATCTGTCATCTCTTAAATCACTGTTCTTACTTTTTGCTGAAAGAGATGTGGTTAATAAAAGAACCCTGTAATCAAGACAAAATTGACATTTAACTTTTCAAAGAAACTATAATGGAATTTTCTCCATTCATTACATTATACTGTTTATTCAGTGTAGCAGGAGGTACCTTTTTCCACATCACTATGCCATGACTCCTGTCTAGTCTCCTTGATTTCATGACCTTATTTTTTATGGCTCAGTCTCCTAACTGGCCATCTTTATATGTGCATAATGCTGTTCAATTTATTATCTAGCACCTTTGAGAAGTGTATTACAAATACATGACTGGGTCGGAAAGAAAAATAGAATTGTTACAGTGGTAAAGTGTTACATATCACAAGAAAGAACTAACTCTAGTGAACTAAATGAAGGTGTGTACCCATCTCAACTTTGGAATCCTGCTGTAGAACATTTTCTAAGTTCAGTTTCTCAGAATTTAGGGTGTTAAACTGATTGTTTTATTTTTCTTTGCCATGGGAATACCCTTGAGTCTCAGCAAAGTGATCCAATTCTTAACGGTAATGTCACACATTTGTGTAAATCACTAAAATACATTGTTCAACTCCATGAAGTATGGCATTTCCATTTTAAGCATATAGAAATCAACAATTGGAGAGGTTAAACAGCATGGCCCAGGACACATACACAGCCAAATATGTATAGAGCCAAAACTTCAGGATGCCAGACCATGTTTTTTCCACTTTGCAAACCTTAGCGGTGAGGATCCCCTTATTATGAATGTCATCATCTAGCCTGAGCCTGTGTGTAATCAGTAGATTTATACTGGAAACATCTGATGTGTGGGAGGTAGAAGATATGGGGTTTATTAAGATAATACATTTGCTACTATTATCAAATTTTGAAAAGTCATATTGATGAAATGCTTTTTAAGTAAAAAAAATTTTTTTATAAAACGCCAAATCCCTTCTTTTCTCTCCTTCCCCTTTTTCTTTCCTTCCCTTTTTCTCTTTTCCTTCATCTCTTTTTCTTTTTCTTTATAATTTGACTGTTTTTCTCTTACAGCATGTACAGAAGCATATTCCCAATCTGATGAGCAATATGCTTGCCATCTTGGTTGCCAGAATCAGCTGCCATTTGCTGAACTGAGACAAGAACAAGTATGAAACAAATACTGCCTTTCAGAATTGCCTGCTTAAATTGCACTGACTTGTATTGAAATGTTTATCGCCCACTAGATACTGTTTTAGTGTTATATTTTATAATTAGTTTTCAGCAAACATATTATATGTTTGCAAATAGAAAAGTCAATTGCATAATTACTTTTGTATAATGCTTTACTGTTAAAAGTTACATTCATATCCATAATCTCTTTCGTTTTTTTTCTCTCGGTCCAGTGATGATATTATTATTATCCCCATTTTGCATATGGAAAAACTGAGGCTCAGAGAAGCAGATAGTTGAGAGTCATTTTTCTTCACCCCAACTGCCATTGCCTTAACTTAGATCATCATTCCTTTCTCATCTGTATTACTAAACTTGCAAACTATTTTTCCACTTCACCCCCTTCTAGTCCATCCTTTAGTATGTGTTCAGATATTTATTTTCTAAGTGGAAATCTCATCATGTCATTCTCCTGTCTTATATGCTTCAGGACCCCCTCCCCCCCAATTACGTACTGGGTTAAGTCCAAACTGCTTATCGTGGACTGGCTCCTGATTACCTCTCTTAGGCCATCTCTTTTCCCTACCCCTCATACTCTATACTCCAAACATACTGGATAAAGTTTATTAATTTTATTAACTTTTGCATAGAAAGTACAGCTACATGGTATAGAACTCAGAAGGTAAAAAGAGTATGTAGTGAAAAATCTACCCCTGTATCTCCTAGCCGTTCAGTTTTCCTCTTAATATAGCCAGGGTTACCAACACAGACATATTTTATGCATGTACAAGGATATATATATTCCTTCTTTTTTAAAATACAAGTATACATAAAGAATGTCTACTCATTCTGTTTTTCATTGTACAATCCATTGTGTGGGTGTATCATAATTTATTTAAGCAATCTCTTATTTGGACATGTTGGTTGTTTCTAATCTTTTTCACTTATAAGCGATGCTGCATACTTCGCACATTTATATCTATAGAATAAAATCATAGTAGAATTGCTGAGCAAGAGGTATCTGTATTTTAATTTTGAGAAGTAGAGCAAAATTGCCCTCTGTGGAATTTGTACCAGTTTTTAAAATTGAGATATAATTCACATACTATAAAATTCACCCTTGTGAAGTATTCAGTTCAGTAGTTGTTAGTATGTTCACAAAGTTGTGCAACCATCATCACTATCTAATTCCAAGCATTTTTATCACCCCAAAAAGAAATCCCATACCCACTTCTTTCCTTCTTCCCCAAATCCCGACAACGTATCACTTTTAATATATTTTAAATTTGTGTTGGTCTTACTATGAGTAATGTTAAACATGTTTTCTAATTTTTAAGAGCCATTTTTTTCTCTTAGTTGTATACATACTGAGTTGTTCTTAATTTTTGTATGATGAGTTAATTCATGGTTTTGTTCCTTCTACTCCCCATCCTTCTATTGAATCCCCTTGATTCAGGGCAGGTATCATTTCTTTTGTGAAGCCTTCTTAACCCCTTCTCATCTTGGTTTGGGTTAGGTGCCTTTCTCCATACCACACGTATTACCCTGTTTTTAACCTCTGTCCTATATAGATTACACAGTTTAAGCATAGGTATGTGTTGATGAATAAAATACACATGGTCCCTGATCTCCTAAAATTTATAATCTCAGTGAATACTTGTTTGCTGAATTAATCAATGAAAAATTTCACAGCTATTAGCGGGAAAATTGGATCGTGAATATAGATCTTTTGATTCTACAAACTGATCTCTTACTCCATAATGCCTCTCTTTTGAAATATAGCAGAACCAAAGCCATCCCTAGAGTGCAGCAAATGGTATCCCATACTTGTGCTCTAGAGGGGCACACTGCTGCTAAATAAGTGAAAAAGTCAGAATTTGGGGGACATGATACCCATTAATGTTAAAATTGGTAGTTTACTATATATATTCAGCCCATAGGTATTCCCCTCATCCTGCCTTGCTATCAGATGTCTCACATTTTATGCATATATTCTTTTGGTTGACTTTTTTCCCTTCCCCTTTTTCACTGATGTTCATTATAGCATGATGTATTTACATAAAAGCGTTAAAGATGAGAATGGTAGAATTTGTCCTTCCCCCTTCTACCTCTTGAGACCTTGCTAATCCTTATTTAATCAAATCTTAAGATTCTTCACAATTTTGGGTCTGATTCAAAAGCCTGTTACTCTGATAGAGGTAATAGTAGTTTATATGTGTGTTTGGTGGCAAATTAAAGTAGCCTGGGATCTTAAGCTTTATCACAGTTCATTTGCATAGGAAACTAGGAGTTTAATGCTAGTTATTATGGTAGAATCACTTAACTTTTTATTCCCTGTCCCTAGATTTGGGGAATCTTGATTAAGTTTGCTCTCAAATATACATATATAAAAATAATAGATTTCTCATGATTTACCTTTTTTTTTTTAAAGCTCATGTCCCTGATGCCAAAAATGCATCTACTCTTCCCTCTAACTCTGGTAAGGTCATTCTGGAGTGACATGATGGACTCTGCTCAGAGCTTCATAACCTCTTCATGGACTTTTTATCTTCAAGCTGATGATGGAAAAATAGTTATATTCCAGGTAATAACTGTACTTCATAAATTCATCTAAATACCAACAATAGTAAGTGTACCTGTAAATGAGTGTCTTGGCCTAGAGCCATATACATCATCAAATAATAATTACTGATTTGGCCTACATTAAACATTGGGCATCAAGACACAGTGAGACTTCCCTCTGCCCATCGGAAGCCTATCTCAAGCCCATTGGCCCTTCTAACAAGAACTCTGAGTCTTCTAAATTTTATAGTGGTTAAATTGATAAAATGAAACCTCTAGATATGAGAAATAAGAGTAATGAATATACTTTGAATATAAATAATGGTATGAATATATATATCACATATGGATATTGAAGAAGAGCAATATGACATAATTTTTAGTTTTTTGTAGTGCTTTTCTTCATAACTCTTGTAAGAGCTTATTGAAGAAGCATATTGCCTCCTAGAGAAGTAACTTCTCCTACCTCATTATTGACCATGTGATGTGATGATAATAACTGCTTTTCTTAAAGATTCTTGTGTACTAGGCATTCACATATGTTATCTCAAATCTTTAAACACCTTTATGAGGTTGTATTATCCCTATTTTTTTGATAAGGAAACCGAGAGTCTAACTTTTTAAGGTCACCCTGCCAGTAAGTAACAGAATTGGGCTTCAGACTCAGGTTATTTTCATTCCCAGCCTTATGTCCCACCCTACCATGCTATCTTCCTTTTAATTTAGTAGTTAAATTCCTCAAATGTACCACAAACTATGTTGTGGCACTTTCTCTCAGGTAATAATTAAAGTAAACCTTTTAATTATTATTGCTAATAGAATGGCTCACTGTAAGGCTAGTATGTGGCACTATCCTGAGTCTTAGGTCGTCTATACATAATATGGTAATAAGTAAAACACAGAAGGAATTTTTTCTCTTTAAATACGTGAGTAATTTCTATGTCCTAAAGCTAATTAGCTTAAAGCTTAAGTTGAATCTCAGAGTGGAGCCCTCATTCATTCCTGATTAGATGTGAAATGAGCTTTGTTTCTCTCTTTGTATTAACTTCTGTGTAACTAGACGGGAGAAACCCCTGTTCCAGAGGATCTGTGCTATATGGAGGATGTAGAGCATGGAGTATTTAGCTATAATGTATGAATTACTCATACTTAGGGAAAAATGGAATGTTTCAGATGAGAAAAATAGAGATAATAGATGTTTAGCCCAAAATTTTGGCAGTCCACTAAGTTATTCTTGATCACCTAGAATTAGAATTCATTTTTGCAGGGTATGATATTTAATGCAGTCTGTTGTAATTTGTCCCTGCTTTTTAATTTATTTTTAATGTTGTCAGAAAGTTAAACTGACTAAATACTTGATGATGCCAGAAATCTGTCTGTTTCTTTGCAAGGCACCGGATCGGATGTTTAGGAAGTGCAATTAAAATATATTGTGGCTAATGTGTTTTATTTTTTATACCAAACTTCTGTTACTTTTTCTCAATTTGAGTGTTTATACAGATGATGTGTTACAGAACTTGTTACCGAGAAAAGCGTAAGAAGTAGAAATGGCTTAATTGCTTTCATTATCATTTTAGTCTAAGCCAGAAATCCAGTATGCACCACAGTTGGAGCAGGAGCCTACAAATTTGAAAGAATCGTCGCTAAGCAAAATGTCCTGTAAGTTTTATTTCAAGTAGCTTGGGATAACAACATTAGCAAATCTGGTTGTGGTCTGGAATTGGTTGTATGATTGTTCTTACACTAATATAAAGTGAACAAATAATTTCTAAACAGTGGTTCTCAAACTTTAGAGTGCATTAGGATCTGGAGAGCTTGTTAAAACAGATTTCTGATCCCTACTTCCAAAGTTTCCAATTTACTAGATCTAGGATATGACCTGAGAATTTGTATTTCTAACAAGTTCCAGATTTTGTTGATACTGTTGGTTAGGGGATCACACTTTGAGAATTAATATTCTAAAGACATGTAGCTTGCTTTGAAGGATATTTTGACTATGAACTAATGAAGTATTCTGATATTTCTGATACGCTAACCGAATAGTGAAACTATCCCAAAAGTGTGAGTTCTTGTTCTATTTTTATTTCCATGCTAGAAATAAATTTTAACTTCTGGAATGTAAAACATCAACCTAAAGCTGAGCTCACCTTTTAAAATGTACGAGTTTGTACCTTATTTTAGATACTGATTTAATTAACTTTCTAATTATCTTGTAATTAGATAGAATTAAACAGAATGTAATTAAACAGAAAGCAATGTCAGCAAGAATTTGAAAATAAAATAGGAAATCCATAATGTGGTAGAATATTCATTTGGTTTTTAACATGCCAGAGGAACTTGCATTCCTTATCCGTGTATCAGATTACACTTATAAAAGCAACTGGGTATCTGTACAGTCTATATATCTAGGAGTAGTTTTGAGACTAGCTTTTGGGATATAGGATATCATAAATTGTACCTTGTTATTTCAGCAGATCTGCAAATGAGAAGTTCACAAACACATAGGAACTATCTTGAAGATGGAGAAAGTGATGGCTTTTTAAGATGTCTGTCTCTGTATGTATTCCTGTTTATTTATATGTATCGGTGATAAAATCTGGCTTGTATCAGACAGATGCATTCCTTTTTATTATTTTAAAATTATATTAGCTGCTCAAAAATTAAAAAAAAATTGTTTACCTTTTTCCTACCAACTTGTACTTTTGGATATTTTAGTTTGTTTAAAAGGTAATACACATCCTACTATAATAAAACCCAAGCAGGTAGTTTTTTTCACGATACAGAAGCATTCTTGTTCTTGTTAAGATTCCCTGATTTATGTTGAGAATTGTGCTTCTCCAGACATTTAAATTAAGCTTTAAAGTATGTCTGAATGGTTTGGGGTTGGATTTTTGTTTTTATCTACATGACAGCACATGAGGCTAGGGAGAGTAGATAAGGGGTATAGATTAAGGAGAGCTTTGTATTCTATGCTAAGGAGTGTCAACTCTATGCCAAGAAACCTTAAAGATGGCAAGGGAAAGTGGGCAGGCAGGAGTAATGGGTACCTTATGCTCTCCTAGGAAGGAATATCAAGCCTTCTGAGAGTAAGGGGCGCTTTATTAAAATATGTATGCTTCTCCTCCTCCAAAAAGTTCTGATATGAGCTCTCCTCCTGTAGCGCCCCCCCCAAAAAAAAGAAGAAAGAGAAAGGCAGTGGCCCATAGCACTTATTGTAATTATCTACTGTGTCAGATACCAGGCCAAGCATTTGAGTAGAAGTGGTAAACAAATGCTTGCCCTCACAGTGTGTATACTGTAGTGGGCTGTTCTGTCTCAAGTGTAACACTACGGTAGTCCAAACTGCCTGCTTCCTATAATTTCTTCCAATAAAATAGTTTCTTGACAGGTTTTGTCAGGTATCAGCAGGGTTATTTTGGTACCTAAAAATTAATTCCTTTTACCAAACAAAGGCTTTAAAGACTGGGTAAGAAAAATGAGGATTTAACTTTAAATTTTCCCTTCCTTTCATTTCTAAACCTACTTTTGACCTTGGCAGAATACGGGCATAATTTTTCTCTCTCTGATATTTAGGATTTTTGTTGCAGTTTGATGGTCTTATGAAACCTAAGTAATTACTTAATCTTAAGTCACAGTTTATTCTCAATACTGTCCTACCTGGCAGCTTACTGGTGACTTATACCCTTTAGCATTTTGTCATTATATTTTATGTTCTTTTAAATCTAACATTTTAAAAGTAATTTGGTAAATGATTAATTCAGGAAATAACTTTTTAACTAGAGCTTTAATGCCTAGAAATTTCTGTGCACAAACATGAATTATAATAGTATTCTACATTTTAATAAAAAATAACTTTTTTTTCAATGCTTTTTCCCTTCAGTGAGCTCATTTGACTCTTAGAACAGTACCCTGTGATAAGTAGGTGGGTCAGAGGTGAATTGCCCACCCCTAAGATTATGTATCCACTACGTTAAAGTTCAAACCTAGCTTTTTTAATTCTGCAACTGCTACTCATCCTGTTCTGCCATAGGTGTCTGTTTCCTAGAGGGTCATGAGTGTTCATGATGGCATGCAAGATCACCTAGCCAGTCAATGGGATCTGGTCTTTTGACTCTTAACTGCAGTGCTTTTTATTGTACTGCCTAGCTCTTATGGAGGTACCCTTAGCTTCCAGAATGGAAATTAGGGTGAACTCATTTTTTCACTTGCCATTTCTTTTTGGAGAGTCTGTTATGTGCCAGGAACTGTTTCAGGGACTTGGGACCTAAAGAAAGATGTTCAATCTCTGCCTCTATGGAGTTCTCAGGTCTAGCATGGTAGAGACAAACGTGCAAACAATGAACAAGCAATGATGATTGCTATATATCATACATACCTCTCATATACATAGTACAAGGAGTATACCTTCAAAGGGAGGATTGACAGAGGACATAGAAATAAGTCTTAAATAATGAGCAAAGATTTTTGCTAGTTGTAACAGATTTCTTTAATTTTTTTTTTCAGCTATGCTGGCTTCCTACTAAATATATAAAGTATATTAATATGTATGGAGAGTCAGGAGAATCAGAGACCAAACTGGGTAGACAGGAACTAGATAGGAGCAGGAAAGTAATCAAATCTAAGTATTGGGAAGAGGCGTCTATGTGAAGGATAGAAGATCAGGTTGGAGAGCTTGGTAAATCCTGCAAGCAGTTATGAACTAGGGTGATGGACAAGGGGAATAAGACATAATGGAGATAGTTGAGAATCTGTAGGATTGTTTTTTTGTGGAAGTGGAAGAAGCAGATGGACTCTAAAATGAGCCCCAGTTTTCTGGTTTAAGTTGTTATTGGAATCCAGATATCAAATATATCCTTCTTATTTCATGGAAGGAAATTCCTTAGTACTCGGGTTAGGGCTGGAATATGTAAAGTGGGTATTTTTTCATTAAAAATATTTTTTACTCTGTTATCTTTCTGAATTGGAATACTTAAAACAAAACATCATATAGGCGTTCCCTGCTTTTAGATGCAGTGCATTTTCCAATGTCCACCTCTTTTGCTGGGAGACAATGACTGTGCATACCTTTTCCTTAGCATGTTCAAGTGTTGGCAAACCATCAAGTGAATGGGTTATGGTGGTAAGTATAGACATTTTATCAGGCAGTATTGGATGAGCACAGATGTGAAAATCAGACTACCTACAGGAATTATCACAGTTTTTTAGAACTGGATTATTAAATATTTAAAAATAGCTTGACTTTTTCCTATTTTTTGACTCTTAATCTATAGTTTGGCAAACAATAGGTCAATTATGGGAAAAACATCAGTTGCTAATCCTTGTAACTGGCCGAATTTATCATATTTTAAATGTAAGAAAAAAACAACTATCTCTTTACTAAGATATGCTATAATGGGTACAAAATGCCTCATAATAGATGTGTTCTTGTAAATTGAAATATAAGTAAATTGTGGCAAATTAATTATTGGAAGTATTCTAGGGAAGCTAACTTCTAGAAGCCTGTTGTGCATCTTTTTATAAAATAAATGATCATTTCATAATGTACCTGTTCTATACCTTAAATCTTTGAGATACTGGGTTTTCTGAAAGCAAGTATCACTATAGTGCCTTGCAAAATAATGTATGACATATGAATAGCAGCATACAATTTATAGAACACTTTGATTTGCATTATCGCATTTAGTAATTAAAAAAGACCTTTGACAGTAATTTGCTTTAATTTTATATATTTAGCAAAAAGCCAGTATATCTGATTTTTTCAATTATAGAAGTGATAGCCATATTCCAGAAACTTGAGAAATGGAGGACCCTAATATAAAAGCTATTATAATATTTCCTTCACTGGGTACATTTTTAAAATAGTTTTAAAGGTAGTACCCGTGAAGTTTTATTTGCATTATTAAACTAAGTGTATAAGGTTGATTGCCTTTCATTATTAAGAATCTGTTTTTTATATTATGAAATTTTAACCTGACTGACTTGTTTTTTAGTAACTCTGGGTGGATTTTAACCACGACTCTTGTCCTCTCGGTGATGGTGTTGCTCTGGATCTGTTGTGCGACCGTCGCTACGGCTGTGGAGCAGTATGTTCCCTCTGAGGTAAATTTAATCCAAGCCCTTTGGCCATTTGAACGCTGAGCCATGTGATTTACCATTTTAAATGCCTGTTTGTTAACTAGAGAAACAAGGCCTCTCTACTAATGGAATGAGAGAAAATGAGGTGGTTTTAATCCCACATGGAAATGGCAGTTTTGTAGCGCGAGAACCACTGTCCCCAGTTTTCTGTGACACTAACTACCGGAGTGCCGTATAAGTTGGCTGGTTTGAGTAAGGGGTCTCTCTCTCTCTCCCCTGGTTTTCTGAGCCTAAAAAGAACCTGTTGACACCAGTTTCTAAGATGATCTGTAAGAAGAAAGACTTGTAGAACTACTTAAAATTTTAATTGCCACAAATGTTAAGGAGTAATTGGTGCTTTAGAAGCAGCAAGGCTGGAATATTTGATTTTTGAGTTAATATGTGCTGGTATCTAACCCTGAGAGAGATGGAAAACTCTTGTGACTTCTTCTCGTAATTAAAATTAACTGGCCCAAGAAACCTAACTGTGTAAAGGATTTTTGTTTTGAGAAAAGGCTATAATTTGGTGAGTCAGCTTAGCTTTCAAGAAAGGAAAGTTATTTATGTAACTAAATAGAGGATAATAATGTGTATGGACATCAAATCCAACTGAAATATACTTTAGTTTTCTTGTGCCTCCGAAGTGTAATAGAAAAACATCTAAAAGAAGAAAGGAAAGAAATTAAAATAGAATCCAATAATAACTACCATGTACCTAGCATGGTGCTTAAACAATAGTCTTATCTTAGTAGGCTATAAAGATAGCTTTTTAAAGTAAGGTTTACATATGAGTAATGATTATGATAATATTATATTTTGTGTTTTTTATTAAGATGCTATGTGATATAAGCAGCTAGAAACTGGAACAGGATAATGTTGGTCACTAACATTTATAGAGTTCTTTAAAATTTACAAAATATTTTCATTTATCTGCCATGTCCAGGAATACTCTAGAGCAGGTTTTGTTATTCACTTTATAGTTGAGTAAATAGGCTTATAATGTCTAGGTAACTTTCCTGGGTTTGCACAGCTGTGAAAGTATTGAAACTGGAATTCAGCTCATGTCTTTTGACTTGCAACTCCTGTCTTTTTCCTATATACTGTCTTTCCTATGGCTGATAAGGTGGCACAAGTAATATATAAAATGTTAAGGAAAGTAGAGTCTGTGTGCTGAGATTATCAGGGAGGGCTTTGGATAATGAGGATCTTGACCTAAATTTTGAAAAATGGGTAGTAAGGCTTGGATTAGCAGAGAGAGAGGAGAGTGTATAATTTTCCCAGTTACAGACAAGAATAAGCTATCAGGTGGGGCGCCTGGGTGGCTTAGTCAGTTAAGCGTCCAACTCTTTGATTTCAGCTCAGGTCATGATCTTGGGGTCATGAGATCGAGCCCCACTTCGGGCTCCATGCTGGGTGTGGAGCCTGCTTAAGATTCTCTCTTTTCCTCTGCTCTTCCCCACCCCGCTTCATGCTTGTGCTCTCTCTCTTTCTCTCTCTCTCTCTCTCTCACAAAAAAAAAAAAAAAAAGCTATCAAGGAGGGACTATAAGGAATTGACTTGGTAAGAAGAACTTAAATTAGGAAATCAAATGGATAAACTTAGGATTGGGAAGAACTTGGAATTGTGGAAATATTAAAGAATAGGTAGATTTCTGTAGAACTCATCTGTTTATGATATGAATATACAGATAACATCCTCTTTCTGCATTACCTATTTGTGTTCTTGTTTAGTTTTGATGTCCATATTGTAATCGTTTTGTTGTTCCTGATAAAACTGAAAGTACTTATCTTACGTAGGAATGCCTTTGCCTGTTACTTTGTTTTGAGCTGCCCTATGCTCTCTACATCCTCCTACTAATAAATCCTTATTGACCCCCACCCACCCTGTGGTACTTTGTTCCTTCCTTTTTGTATCATCAGTACAGTTCCTTTTCCTTACTCCCTGGTGCCCTTTGTCAAAGAAAAATTCCATAGAGATTGATCTAGTTATTGTCAGGAAAGACTGGATGGCTGGCTTCAGGTGGAATTTACCTTGATCAATCCACCACAGCCTGGATCCTGGTCCCCAGGCCTACTGACTGATGTTGAGCACTTCCAAGCACTGTTCTCAGTGTTTTATCTGAGTTAGCACATTCATTCCTTTCAGTAACTTGTGAGATGGCTGCTATTATTATCCACATTTTCCAGATATGAAGACTGCAAAAGAAGAGTGTATAATTGCCCCAGTATCACTTACTAGTAGTGGCGGAATCAGAATTTGGACCCAGGTAATCTGACTCCAAAACCAGTACCCTGAAGTTTCTTTAATTAGCCTGAAATCATAAATAGGAGAGTTGATGTGTTTCATTCAGGAGCTGATCTTCTGTGTGCCCTCTTTGCCACTAGGAAGATAGATAACCACCTGGACCACATGGTTCAAGTTTTTGAGCCAGAATCCTCAAATTCTCTCTTATGCAAACAGTTCTCAGATGGGCATCTCATGGATTTTCCTCTCTTATCTCCTTACGCGACTTAATGGCAATGACCTCTTCTCATTGTGGCTTTGGGTACATCTTACAGACCTGGAGATCTTTCCCTCCCTTTCAGATGACTCTTGAGCTTCTCCTTCTTTCAGATGTTTGTCACTGCTCTAAATTTTGTTTTGATTGTATAGCTTTAATTCTGTGAGAAATTCTCTCCCGTTTTCCAAGTTCTTTGGGGAGATACCTCACTGTTCCCACATATGCCCCTTGACCCCTGTGATCATAAAGCTTAAGGCATCAGCACTACACACGGAGTCTTGTTGGCAGCTGTTATATTCCCCCTAGATATCTGCCATATGGATATTTCTTCCTTGCCCCTCTCTAGAACTCTACTACATATCCTTAACAATCAAAATTATGGCTACACCCTCAAAAGGCCTGTACTTTTCTAAGGAGATATATTTTCTGGAAAAATGTATGGAAAACAGCCTCCTAGATTCACTGCTTTTAGGCTTTATTTTCTATGTGAAACCCCCTTTGGCTAGGTAATAATGTTTAACTATTGCTTTTTCATTATAAAAATTCTTTATGCTTACTGTAGAAATTTGTAAAGTATATGTAAAGAAGCAGAAAGAAAAATCACTTATCATCCAAAACTATTGTAGTGTTTCCATTTCATTTTATTTTTTTAAAGATTTTATTTGAGAGAGAGAGAATGAACGGGAGGGAGAGAGAATCTGAGGTAGACTCCACTCTGAGCATAGAGCCCTACACAGGGCTCGATCCCACAATCTACAGATCATGACCTGAGCCAAAACCAAGAGTCGGATGCTTAACCAGCTGAGCCACCCAGTCGCCCCTGTAGTGTTTCCATTTTAGTGGATTTCTTTTCAGCATAAATAATTTTTAATACGTACTAATATTTTGTTTCTTGTTTTAAAACATATTGCAGTATAAATACTCTGTCCCTGGTATTTTTTCCTCTGTTTACTGTAAAAACAGCTGAAAATTTAGCATTACAAAAGTTATGCAATTTTCTTGGCCAAAAGCCAACTATTTTTCACTTTCATAAAACCTTTTCATTGATTTTATTATTGAAACATAAATTATTTTTGACCCCTTTCCATAGTAACATGAGACTTCATTTTAAGTTCTACAAGTATAATTCATGTGTGAGCAATGTTATTTATATTTTGGTATATTATTTACATATATCATCCTGTATGTTTGTAGGAAATCATAAGCCTGCTGAGAGGATGTATGTCTCTTCAGTACTGACCTGGTATCCGGGAGCTCAAACATGAAATAGAACAAGCTTCCTTTTCAGTCACTACAAAGTTTAAAATGGTAGTAATAAAGATCAGGAGTGTGATCTTAGAAACTTAGGAGCAGCTTTGTTTTTCTTATATAGGAAAGCTCTGTAATAATTTATCTTTAGCCTGCTTTGCACATAGTAGGTACTCATCATATATCATTTGATTATAATGACCAGAAGAAGTTGGCAAAGAATGTCATTTCTTTGGTTGATCTTAAAGCAGTGTCATTTTTGAGTGACTTGACTTATAAAGATTTCTTCTCATTTCTCTACTTTTTTTTCTTTTTCACATTTTTTCATGTCATTTTTAAAAGTTTATGGGATGACACTTTCTCTTTTTAGCGATCTGTTTAAGATAAAGAGTTGTCATTCATAGTGGTCCTAGTTGGGCAGGTCAATCTTGACATGTGAGAACAGGATGCAGCAGTATTGGATATTTCTTCCTAGAGGTCAGGCAGTAATTTGCTATTGCAACAGGTAGTGATATAGATGCTTCCTTGGTGTTATCTCATCATCTGTGTGCTTCCTTTTTTCTTATTTGTCAAGATCATGATCCTCTGATTTCATGTGGTCAGTTAAAAAGGGTTTTAGCTCTCTTGAGCCACTCCTATGCAGTCCCTGCCCACCCTGGTCTATGGTGCTTACAGCTCTTCTCCTTTACAATGCCTGAGGAAGTGCTCCATGGAGAGGAGGAGGTGGAGACTTGCCTTCCAGACAGAAATTGCCCAGTTTGTGTTTCTTGTCATCAATACCTCCTGTTCCAAGAAGGAAATTTTCCTTTGGGAATTGATCAGTAATGCTTGGACAAGATTTTCTATCAGAGCCTGACAGACCCTTCTAAGTTGGACAGTGTTAAAAAACTGAAAATTGACATTCCCAACCCCTAGGAATACACCCTGACTCTGGTGGACACTGGCCTTTACATAACCAAAGCTGACCTCATAAATAATTTGGGAGCTATTGCCAAGTTGGGTACTAAAGCATTTATGGAGCCTCTTTAGGCTGATGCAGACTTCTCTGTGATTGGACAGTTTGGTGTTGGCTGTCATTCTGCCTCAGAGAAAGTGACTGTGATCACAAAGCATAGTGATGATGAGCAGTGTGCCTGGGAGTCTTCTGCTGGGGGCTCCTTCACTATATATGTGGACCATGATGAGCCCATTGGCCGGGCTACCAAAGTGGTCCTCCACCTTAAAGAAGACCAGAGTACTTGGGAGAGGCTGGTCAAAGAAGTGGTGAAGAAGCACTCACAGTTATCCCATCACCCTCTATTTGGAGAAGGAACAAGAGAAAGAAATCATTGATAGTGAGGCAAAGGAATAGAAAGTGAGAAAGAAGATAAAGATAATGAGAAACCCAGGACCGAAGATGTGGGCTCAGATGAGGAGGATGATAGCAGGAAGGACAACAAAAAGAGAACAAAGAAGATTAAGGAGAAATGTATTTATCAGGAAGAACTGAACAAGACAGGCTCTTTTGGACCAGAAACTGATGACATCACCCAGGAGGAATATGGAGTGTTCTCCAGGAGTCCTACCAATGACTGGGAAGACCACTTGTTATCAAGCACTTATCTCTAGAAGGTGAGTTGGAGTTTAGAGCACTGCTGTTCATTCCCTGTTGGGCTCCTTTTGATTTCTGAGAACAAGAATAAAAAGAACAGTATCAGACTCAGTCTGCTGTCTGTTCATCATGGACAGCTGTGATGAATTGAGTATCTCAACTTCATCCATGGTTGTGGTTGACTCTGAGTACCTGCCCCTGAACATTGCCCAAGAAACACTGCAACAGAGCAGAATCTCCAAGGTCATTTGCAAAAATACTGTGAACATGTGCCTTGAGCTCTTTGAGCTGGCAGAAGACAAGGAGAACTATATAAGAAATTGTATGAGCCAGTCTCTAAAAATTTAAAAGCTTGGACTCCATGAGGACTTGACTAATTGGCTACTCCTTTCTGAGCTGCTGCATTACCACACCTCCTAGTCTAGAAAGGAGAGGACTTCTCTTTCAGAATATGTCTCTCACATGAAGCAGACCCAGAAGTCCATCTGTTACATCACTGGGGAGAGCAAAGAGCAGGTTGTCAACTGCTCTTGTGGAGCAAATGCAGAAGCAGGGCTTTGAGGTAGTTTAGATAACCGAGCCTATTGACGTATACTGCATGCAGCAACTCAAGGAGTTTGATGTGAAGAGCCTGGTCTTCAAGGTTACCTTGAAGAGCCTGGTTACCAAGGAGGGCATGGAGCTGCCTGAGAATGAAGAGGAGAAGAAGAAAGTGGAGGAGAACAAGGCCAAGTTTGAGAACCTCTGCAAATTCATGAAAGAAATCTTAGATAAGAAGGTGACAATTTCTGGGGCACCTGGGTGGCTCAGTCAGTTAAGCGTCCAACTCCTGATTTCGCCTCAGGTCATAATCTCAGGGTCCTGAGATCAAGCCCTGCATAAAGTTCCACACTCAGCAGGGAGTCTACTTGAGGATTCTCTCTCTCTTAAATAAATAAATCTTAAAAAAAAAAAAGGTGACAGTTTCCAATAGGCTTAGGTCTTCCCCCTGCTGCATTGTGACTAGCAATGCTGTAGGTGACTAGCACCTACACTTGGACAGCTAACATGGAGCAGATCAGGAAAGCCCAAGCACTTTGGGATAACTCTGCAACAGGCTGTAGGATGACCAAAAAGCACCTGGAGCTCAACCCTGACCACCCCATTGTGGAGACACTGCAGCAGAAGGCAGAGGCCGACAAGAATGACAAGGTCATCAAGGACTTGGTGGTGCTGGTGTTTGAAATGACACTTCTCTCTTCTGGCTTCGCACTTGAGGATCCCCAGACCCACTCCAGCAGTTATCTACTTCATGGTCAAGTAAGGGCTGGGCATTGATACGGCTGAAGTGACAGCACAGAAACCCAGCACTGCTCTTCCTGATGAGATCCTCCCCCTTGAGGCTGATGAGGATGCCTTTTCTCATGGAACAAGTAGATTAGGAGTTTCTACCTTCAGACCTTGTGCCCTCTGTATAGTGTCCCCATGGCTTCCCCTGTGGCCTTGAGTGGCCCTGGCCCACTTGGTTCCCTCTGCCGATTCCAAGTGGGTTTTTCCCCTCCTGTCTTTCTGTCTAAGGCAGGATACAAGGGCCTTGAGTGCTGTCTTTTCCCGCATCTGACATTGGGTTTGGATGTGTGTTGTGGGGTTTTTGTTTATTTTGTTCGGAAATCAAAGATGTGAAATAAAGAAGATGCAGTTTAAAAAAAAAAAAAAAGAAGAAGAAGGGTTTTGGAAGATTCCTAATAACATTGACATTAGTAAATCACATACATTTATGAATAACTTACTATGTGCCAGGCTATGTTCAAGGGACTAGAGATACAATTGAGAATATTATGATCAAGATGGAACAAAATGAAATGATGAAGGCTTCCAAGACTCAGGAAGTAGGGTGAATATGTCTTAAATTGTAATAAGCATTATTTTCTTTGTCTTAAAAAAAAAAGACCAAGAACCTTGCTGTTCAGAAGTGTTAAGTCTGCTAAAAGAGTCAGAAAATCAGAAAACGATATAAGTGCCACAGTTTTTAAATCCAAATTCTGTTAAGAAACTGAGTTTTAGAGATTTAAGCAGCGTACCCAAGCTCATGTAACTGGTTAGTGGCAGAGCCAGGCCTAAAGCCCAAATACATATTTACTAATTTATTTTTTAACTTTTAGAAGTAATATGTGTGACCTAAATTGTCTTTTTCTTCACTTCTCAGATAAATCAGTTAATAGTTTAAGCAATTTTTCTAAGTAATTACCATATTTTAATTTTATCTTCTATTTAATTTTTATCTTCTGTTGTAATTTTATCTCTTGTTTCTTATTTTATCAACTTTAGACATTATCTGAGGTCTTCTTACTGAAAAATGAGGAACTTGGTTTGCTCATACTGTCTCCCACATCACCTTCATCTCTTCACATCCTGGTTTTTATAATGTAAATTTTATAGACTTTTAGTGATTGCTTTGTAAATTTCAGTTGACTCCTCATTACTTCCTTTCCTTCCCTCTTTCTTCCCATACTCTGCTCTCAATTTTCATTAGTTATTATGACCCTTGACAATAAAATGCAAATGTTAATTCTTCTGTATATATACTTCAGTGCTTTGCTACTGGTTGACTTGGAAAATTAAAATCCAGTAGACAGCATTTACAATATTATGATTATGTAAGTATTCAAAATAGAACCAAATACAGTGGTGAATTAGAGTCACATAAAAGCAAATAGAAAACTGAATTACTTAAAATTTTCCCAAGAGAATCTTCCAACTATCTCTGCCTAATGGCATCTTTTTTTGTTCTGTTCTAGCTTTCTTCCCATTTTCTAAGTCCTCTCAACTGCTGCTGTTTCTTGCATTCCGTGTTTTGATTTCTTGAATTACTTTTGCTGGAGTACTTTCTTAAGTAATTTTTTTCATAAAGGATGCTTGGGTGGTAAACTTACCAAGTTAATACTGTTGAAAATCTCTCTGTTGTACTCTTGTATTTAATTGGTAATTTGAGAATACAGAATAGACACTAAATCAATATGCATACTACAGATTATCCATATGCTCTCATTCATTTCTCCGCACACATTTTACACTTTCTTCCTATTCTAGATAGCTTCTTCCATGTCGATGTTTAAAATCATTGCAACAGTTCCTGGTTGCTGTTTCAAGGTCTTTAAATGCCGTTTGGTAAAGTTGTGAAAGTTTTTCTTTCCCAGTGCCCCAGAGCAAATTATCACATGTTAATTCTGAGTTTTAAGGAGGCCACATTATGTCAGCATTATGTCCAATCCATCAACCACTGAATTTGTCTGGAAGATACTCTCTTACTGGAAAAGCGTAAGGTACTGGGCTGCCTCTTTGTTGCAGGATAGTTGTTGCCTTGAAACTGTAGGCATCAGGCCACATCTGAAACATGTTCAAGTCAGCAACCATCATGACAATCACTTTTAGAACATTTTCGTTACACCAAAAAGAAACCTCGTACTCATTAGTAGTCACTCCCACTGCCTCCCAAGGACCACCACCACCACCCTGAGCCATAAATACCCAAAATGTGGTCTCTCATGACTGACGTCTTTCATTTAGCATAATGTGTTCAAGGTTCTTCCATGTTGTAGCATGTAGCAGTGTTGGTAGATACTTAATCTCTTGAAAGTCCTCTTTATTCAGCATCTTTTAAAAAATACCTTTCCAATATCAAGTACTTCTAGGTGGCTTTTGCTTTATAATCTAGTCAGTTTCCCTGTTAATAATGTCAGCACTTTAGGTGTTAACTGATAGATTCAGAGATTTGTTGCTGTATGAGTTAATGAAATCTATCCACTCCCTAGTAAAAACTTTTCACTTTGCTTTTCAGCATTTAGGAGATAGACCTAATCCAAATAGGCCTACTTTCAAAAGATGTTAAACATAACTATTATACTCCAGGGAGTTTTATGCTATTTACATTGATCCTGTTTTATGTTTTTATTCTTTTTTTTGTAGTATTTTCTTGGATATGATAGAAACAATTTGAGGAGCTTTTATATATTTATGAAGAGATTTGTATCTGTGTTAAAGTGTTTCATGTATATTCTTTGTTCTACTCATAGCCTTTTGAAATATCTTTTTCCAATGTGTTAAGTCAAAACTTACCCCAAATCATTTGATCACTTGTTCAGAGAGCTAAGATCTTAAAGGAATTGATCGCCTAACACATCAAACATCCAGAATCAGTGCTCTTGGTTTGACCACACTAACTCCATTTAAACCTGAGCAATTTTTCTTGATATTTAGTTGTTATATTTCTAAGTATTTTAAGTTGGGACATGTGGAAAAGTTTTCTTTGGCCATCTATTGGAAGCTGAATCACATATCAGTAACACTGAGTAAAAGCATTCTTCATTCTTGAAATGTCTATAGGGTTTTTTGTTTTTGTTTTACTAAATACCTGTAGATTAAATTGTTATTTGAAGGTGTACTCAGAGGTTCCTAACTATTCAAATTGTTAATGTGCATTGATTTTCTTTTGCAGAAGCTGAGTATCTATGGTGACTTGGAATTTGTGAATGAACAAAAGCTAAACAGATACCCATCTTCTTCTCTTGTGGTTGTTAGGTCTAAAGCTGAAGACCATGAAGAAGCAGGGCCTCTACCTACAAAAGTGAATCTTGCTCATTCAGAAATTTAAGCTTTTTTTTCTTTTTTAAAGGAAGGGTAATAGACATCTAAATTTTCATTCCTCATAGAGCTTCTAAAGATGGTTTCATTGGATAGGACTTAAAAATCACTATAAAATGCAAATAAAGTTACCCAAATCTGTGAAGACTGTATTTGCTGTAACTTTATCTGTAATTTCTTTCCTAATAATTTAAGAGATGGATATTTGGGATTGCATTTTTATTTTACTAATACCTGTAGCTATTTTATTATTTACATTGTTTTTGTTTGTTTTCTTTCTTAGCCAAATTCTGTGAGCTGATCATTGCTCTTCCCCACCTCCTGCCATAATACTGTCACCTTAGTTAATAAACTGAATACTCAATAGGATTTGATGCTTTTGCTCAGAAATGGCCCACAAGCTGTATTTTGAGATTTAGCAGGAAATGCCCTTTAATGACACTACACTTTCAGTGGTATTGACTGAAATCATTAAAATTTTATTTGAATAATTATGTGCCGAAATTTGAGTTAATATACTCCTGATTTTCCAGATCGTTCCTTTCACCCCTACCCAACCAGAAAAGAATTATGAAATGTTCTGTCTATTGCTATGTAATAGGATGATCAGAGAACAAACTGAAGCAAAGATGACCCTCTAAGAAGTACGTTTTATGTTATTTTGTATAGGCTCTAGAATTTTTGTTGGATGAGTCTTTCCAAAGAACTGTTTTTCTCTGTTAGAAAGCATATCATGTGTAAGTTAAAGATATTTTCAGAGAAAACGTTTCATGTTGACAATAAGAATCAGACTCTTGTGATGCAGAATTGAGTATAGATTTCACACTTGGCAAAGACTTGTTATTATCATTCCTTTAACCTACAGTAATGCAGATTTAAGAGTAAGGGTGACATTAGGTGACACAGTGCACCTCAGTCTCAGCATGATCCAGTGTCTTCACAGCACGGAGCATTACAGACCTTTGCAGAGCAGTACTCTCCTGACTCGCCGGGCGTTGCTGGCGCGGGCAGTAGGGCCGCTTGAGCACCGTGAGTCACACCTTACCTCACAGCTGGGCTGTCCGCTTGCTCGTGGTCAGGAGGAAACACAGTTAACTACGCAAGTCACACTTGGGTCACGAAATGATAGGTTTGGGTTTCTTAAAGAGTTTGTCTAGACTTGGGAGAGAGGGGTTTGAAAGTACATGCACACATCCAGATGGGGAAGAGGGAAGGAATTACTGGGCAGTCATCTAGCGGTCATTGTCTCTTTCTTATTTCTTGTGAGAAAACAGTTGAAAAACATGAGGCAAAGATTGGAGTCACCTAAAAAAAAAAATGTCTTATCCCCCCCCATGATACATACTTATATCCCTTAATGGGGCACAGGCTTAACAGTAATGCACCCAATGAAACAAGCTGAGGGGGAGATCTGCAAAGTGCTGCACGTGTGTAGGAGCCTGAGAGCCCTGAGGCCTTAGGAAAGGCCTCCCTTCTAAAACAGCACAAAGTGAAGCCTACATAAGGAGCAACTGGATAATTGTCCTAGATTCTCCCCCCTTCCCTTGGTCTTGTTTCTCTTTGCTTCTTGAATGAGGTACCCCTGAGACACTCTTATTCCTCTTGAAAGTACTGATTCAAGTTTAGACAAACTTTCCCCTCTTGTTTATGAGACAATTCCATAGATGTGGCAATACCCAGTCATTCCTGTTATTTAGTAGGCACTCAAATATTCGTGTTCTGCTTTTTTTAGTTTAGCATGATTAAACCAGACTGACATTTTCAGGAAAAGTTTTACTTTAAACAACAAACTCACCACCCCCCTAAAATTCCATCACAAGCAACAAAACCAGTCCTTTCTTTTAAAGTTTAGCCCTTCTTGGATGGGTCCCTCTTCACTTGTTTCCATGAGACAGGCAGCACCTGCTTTCCTACCACACAGCATCTTGAGAATCTTATCTTGGTCCTAGGCAAATTGTCAAGACCCTTGAGTCTCTGGTTCAAACCTCCCAGGCTCCCAAGAAGGTCCTTGGATCAGGTCCCTGGTCTAAGAGACATACTAATTCAGACAGTTGCAGAGAAGGCAGTAACCACCGTAGTGAATGATCTAGGCCCAAGATTCCCAATCTTTTCACAAAACTTTACAGACCCTTTTATTTATGATACATTTTTCCAGTAAGTCAGAAATTACCAGGTTATCTGGCCTATCAATATTGTCTCAGAGAGATGGCATGCATTATCAGCCAACCTGAGCTGCTGATCATCGTATGAAATCTACTATTTTTACTCTGATAGTCCAGCCAAAAGCAAACAACTTTATCCTTTGTTACTGGTCTGGCTTTATCTTAGATATATGTGCCATTTCCACTATGATTTTTGAAATATATAAAATAGCTGTTAAGATTTTTATGGGCTCTTAAGTATCTTAGGACACATTGGGAATTATTGATCTAGAATTATTGATCTATTGATCTATTTCTAGACCTTTTTGGATAAAATTAACCAGCCCCACCCCACCCCCAACTCTTGGAACAAACAATAAAACAAGTCTCATCTGAGTTCCATACCACCACACAAGGTGGGGATTTTGCACAGGTATCCTGTTCCAGATTCACAGTGTTAACTATCCAACAACCACTTGAGAGCCTGAGTGTCCTGCCTTGTGCTGGGTGATAGGACTTCAGCAACAAATAAAAATGGTTGCTCAAAGTCTGGGGACTATTAATGTGATAAGGTCTATGACCAGATAAGCATAGAGTACTGTGGGAGGACGGAGGAGGACCTATGGGAGGAAGCAGTATCACAGCTTAAACCTGGAGGAGGAGGAGGCAAAGTCAAACAAAAAAGTACTCCAGGCAGTGGGAGCCATGCACCGAAAGACCTAGATGCCCGAGGGTGGGGACAGCAAATTGGTTAGCAGGTTGTGGTAGAGCATGCAAGAGCGTAGCAATGGATGTGGCTGGGCAGGCAAGATAATAAAGGACCTTATAAAACCTGAACTTGATCCTGAGCACAGTGGAAGCCATAGGAAGGTTTTAAGCAAGAGAGTTACAGTGTTTTAGAACCATTCACTTGCCAACAATGTGCAGGTAGACCAGAAGGGCAAGTTCAGAAGCCGAAGGTATCAGTTCTGTAGTAACCTCTAAGATCTATTAAATTGTATACTTATCCAGCCACACTGAAATGGGAAATTCCATTCCCTTCCCAGAGTTTTTTTTTTTTAATGCCCAATACTATTTCATTTTACTTCACATGTATTTTTGAGCCCTTATCTATAAGTCTCTCTATGCCTCCACATTATTGTTTGGATGGTAAATCCTAGGACTGGCCTCAGGGTCCTGATCACAATCTAAGTGCTGCCAAGCAGACTGGGAAGGCTGTTCTGTGGAGCCCAAGCTTCTTACCAGACTTACATTGGGCTAAATTTTTAAACCACAATGCTAGGTCAACTTACCACTATGCTCAAATTCTAGGTTTGCCAACCCAGCCTCTATGAACCCAGTGTGCTCCTGAGCCCCTCCCACCAGGTGTCCAGTTGCTAAGATTGTCATGTTTACGTTTGAGTATCATCAACATCTGAGCTACCTTTTTAATCTTTCTTTCCTTGACTACTTGTTCTAAACTAGGGTCTGGCAGTAGAAGTATGTACAGTAATAGAGATCAAAGAGTGAAATAGTGGAAAATGTGGACTTCTGTGAGAAGCTAGCTTGTACAATCCGTGGATTTTCCGACTCCTTGCAATAATTAGATTGGGAAGCATAGTTTATATACCTTTTCTCAAATTTGTGATTGTTGAAGCTCCATATACTTCACAATTAAGTGTTCTCTTCCTGTGATGTTGATGACTTAACTTGTTGAGAGCAAGTGTTCATAACCTTTTTCACACCATGGACCTTTTTGGCGATCTGATGAAGCCAGTGGACTCCTCAGCATCATGTTTTTAGATGCATAACACTAAATATGAAGGACTGCAAAGGAAACTAATTATGTTAAAATATAGTTAAGACATTTTTAAGATTTTGTTGTGTATATATGTACTTCTTTATTAACACATAAATTAAGGTCTAGTGGTAGTTCTAGAATCTCTGTAATTCCAAAGTAATTTCAGGTTATTTCGAAATAACCTGCAACAATTGTAATATGATATCTGAATCTGTGGTTTCTACTGGTGACAAAGTCACAGGTACTGTTCATAGACTGTCGATTGTGGCCTACATTCATAGTTGAAGGAAATGCTATATTTCCGTTAGAAGTTAGTGAAAATAAAGATTTATTTCTTTCCCATCGAAGTGCACTAAACCCTTGGTTTAGAGGTTGTCTAACTTTTGCCATTTTTTTTAAAGTTTTTATTTAAATTCCAGTTAGTTCACAAACAGTTTTACTTTGTCATTTTAGGAGCAAAATATTTTTGTTTGTTTGTTCAATTCTAAATTATTTGGGCCTTTTTTTTTTTCTTTTTTTTACTGTTTCCTGTGTGCTTTTTATACTTGAATTGTTCTGCAACATTGGGACAGCAATAATTGAAGGCTTGGGTGGAAAGAAATTAGTGACTGATTAGACAACAAAAGCTCGATAATGTTACCTCAAGACATACTGTCTTGCAGTCATTGCTGGAGCCCTGCACCTGTCGATTCATAATGCATAAGTATGTAAACTTCAATAAAATCTGGATCATCTGCATTAAACAATACTGTAATGCTATCTTGTAACAGTGTCTGCTTAGATCTGTTATGATGGTGTTTGTGCACTCCACCAAGTCCTTTAGAGCAGTCTCACCATCCCCTTAAATGGGTGCTTACCACATTCCTTTAGGAAAGCAGGCTGGGGCCCGCCATTTCCATTCTAGAGTTGAGTAGACAGTCTGAGAGAGGAGAGACACCAGTCAGGGCTTCCCAAGTTATGGGAGGCTTAGGGGAGGAGTGATAAATGCTGAGGCAGGGACAGGCCTCACCTCTAGGCACGTCTGGAAGGAGGTCCCTGGGTCCATCTAATGGTGGTACCTGTTAGCATTCTCTAACCCAGAGTTGGGCCCTGGACTAAGAAGCAGTCCTAGCAGCTCTCTGTAATTATAAACAAACCAAGGCCTCCAGAAACAATACTGTGCCCCCAAAGGGAGCAGAACATTTTCACATACGTGCACTGATTTCATTCTAACCATAGCGCTCTGAGGCAAGTGTTCTTGTCTTCATTCTCCAGATGAGGACATGGATTTCAAGAGGCTCTGACTTGCCACCTTAAATTAGTATTAATTTGGCAGAGTTTGGATGAAGACCCAGGTCTGTCTGACAAGCTGAGGTTGGCTGATCTCATGTCCAGAGGATTTTCCCCTAGCCACAGCCAGGCCAAGACAGAGCCCCGGACAGTAAGGTATATAGGGAAAGGTCAAACCGGGGAAGAAGGGAGAGTCAAAGAAGCCTTCATGAAGTGAGATTTTTACTTGGTTCTGGGTTCTGGGCACAAAAGATGGATTTAGAAAGGCAGAGGGAGCCAGCAGAAGCCACTCTAAGCAGGTGACAAGCTACAGTCCAACAAAAAGAAATCCACAAATCAGTTAGAAAAAGACAAACCACCCATAGAAAAATGAATGACAGATATGAAAAAGCAATATGCCAGGGAGGAAATCCATATGACCGATATATAAAAAAGGGCAGCACAATACATGGGGTCGGGCAAGGCTCTCCATTTGAGGATCTTGTTAAGAAGCAGGTTCTGGTTTGGCGGGGCTGGAGTGAGACCCCAGTTCTAACCAGCTCTCAGGTGATACAGACGCTGGTGGTCTGAGGAACACACTTCAGAAAAGTAAGGGTGTAGGTACGGGTAGAGTGTGAACTTTTCAGCCAGCCAGATCTGTATCCCGGCTCTGCCACTTTTCAACTGTGAACCTTGGTCAAGTAACTTAGTGGCTGTGTGTCTCAGTGTTCTCATCTGTAAAATGGAGATCATAGTCCCCATATCCTGTGGCTGGGAGGACTAAATGAGTTCACATACATAAAGCATTTGGTACAGCGTGTGGTAAAAGTAAGTGTTCAATACTTGTCAGTGATTAGTCGTAGCAATAATAATTACTAGAGATGTACAGATGAAACCACCCGCACCCGAAGACACCATTTTGCACCTATCAGACAGACGCAGGTGTCAGAGAGTCTGAGCGTTTTGAGGCTAGGGAGAATGAAGATGGAAACTCTCACACGCTGCTAACGGGAGTGCAGTTCGGTATGGCCCCCTGGAAGAACGGCATGGCAAATTCTGCTAAAATCGAGGTGCCCCACCGTGTGATTCTATGTGTGTGTGTGTCTATGTGTCTTGAGAGAGCAACAGCTCCTGGAAGCATCCACGGCATATTCAGGAAACTGGTTGACTGCGGAGAGAAGGAAGGGAACACAACTGGGAAGAAAAGACGCCTTTGATTTTGCTAAACTTAATAGAAAAAAAAGGCTAAAGCAAAAATGACTAAATCTTAACATTTGTTAACTCTGGAGGGTAGATAGATAATTATTTGTTACCTAGTTTTTCCTACTTTTCTGTAACAAGTTTTGGGGACTTTTTTTCCCCAGGGGAGGAAAGGGGGGAAGAAGGGAGAGGTTAAAGCAAATAGGCAGAGGGGACCTGGTATGGGCTTGGGTGTGGAGTGGGGAGGACAGAGAGGTCCTTTGATTGGGGCGCTGCCTTTCTTCAGGAATGAATGGAAGAGGAGTTTAGAGAGGTAAGTGAGAAGCTGAAGCTCAGGTTAGCTCCGAGGTCACGCAGCTAGCAGCGGGGGGCCCTTTGGACTGTCAGCACCCAAGTTCCTGCTTTTGCTAGAAGTGTACCCAGGCGTGGCTCGAGCAGGCCCCAGCCAAGGCCAAGGGAGCCCAGCAGGGTTGCCCAAGGGAACCCATGGTAGACATCTCTAACCAGTCACAAAACCCTGAGTCCTGACCTCAGAACCCTCATGAACCCCATGTTCCGGACATCCTCTATGCATCAGTCGCCGTTGGCGTACAAGATGAAATCTAGTTCGCATCTTTGGCAGATGCCGTGGGGTGTCCAGGCCACACTCCCCAACCCGTTCCACTTCAGAGCAGGTCAGCCAGGCTTGCCATGGCCAACACAGGCAGCTCGGCGCCCACGGCAGGCCAGTGGAGCCGGCAGGTCATACCCCCAGCAATTCTCAGCCAATGACTGGCAAGAGCTGACAAGCACATCCCCCCCCCCCCCCCCCCCCCCCCCCCCGTGCCCTCACCTTCACAGGGCTGGTAACTCGGAGGGACGCCTTCTCCCTTGGCTCCTGGAATTCCGTGGCAGGAGAAAGTTCCATCTGCACATCGTGGGAACGTGCCTGATCACATGCCAGTTATGGGGTCCTTCCCTTCCCTGTCTCACTCGCCTCACTCCCCAGCTGTCATTTCCAGGGATCACTCTCAATTAAACCTACTTCCAGTCTGGTCTTATGGTCTGATTATGGGAGTCCCCAAGACGCCCCCTTCATCTAGTCGAATCCTTTCATTTTATGGACGAGGGAATTGAGGCTCAGCAAAGGGGAGCAACTTGCCCACACCAGCGCCAGTGGCAGGGCCCTCGGGAGAACCTGTTCTCTTGGCTGAGGGGTTAGCCCTTTCCGGGGCTGTTGTCTCGGGAGAGCTGTTCTTGCACTGATCCATCCCACCCCCACCTCAGGGACTCCAGTAGTTCATATCCCAGGGCAAAACAGAAGGCCGGTCACAGGGTAGACAACCCCTGGGCGTCAGAGGCAGGCTGCAGAGGGACCTTCCCCGGAGGCCCTGCGCTCAGTTCTGAGGTGGACACCTCTCCTCCTTTGGTCCTCCAGCCAGTCCCTTGAGCTCCCAGGGCCTTGGTCTCCTCAGCAGTGGGATGAGGCTGCCACCTGCAGGGTGGGTAGCAAGGGTTATTCAGGTGAGCAACCCACCCGCCCCTTCCCCATCACGGGCACCATCTCTCGAAAGATGAAAAGGCACGTGGCCACTTTTTTAAAAGAAAATAATTTAAAATTATATTTGCATTTTAATTTTAGTGGAAAATGCATATTCATTCTCCACATAGATTACCTATTAAATTGAACAATAAGAAAATGATTCCTGTTTTTTAGCCACTAAGACATTAATTCTGGGTATTTCTGCCTGGATCTTCATGCAGCTGAGGGGCCTGAGAGCCCCCGGTTTCACCACTGATGTGGAGGAAAAAGCAGATCCGAACCCCGCTTCCCCCTACCCACTGTGTGACCTAGGGGCAGTTTCTTCCTCTCTGCACCTCAGGCTCTTCGTCAGTAATGTGGGCAGGAGGACTCCCACCTTGGAGTGCTCCATCAGAGGGCGGAGGGGAAGGGCCAGGCAGGAGCCCGGGAGGGGACTGCCCGCAGGGAGGGTGTGGCCAGGCCTGGCCTGCTGTCCTTCCGCCAGGCTGCCCCTGGTGACAGGGCGGGAACCTGTGCTGAGTTCTCTGCACAGGGCGCCCCGGTGCCGGGAGGCTGGAGCTGGGAGCTGGAGGCCGGAGACATGAATAAAATCTTCCCCCAGGTAAGAGCTGCTTTTAAAATGGCTCCCCAACCTGGGGGAGCCACCCCTGGGGCAAAGAGTGGGCTTAAGTAAAGAGGGGAGGCGCTGAGGTGGCCCAGGTCTCCCTTGCTCTGGAGGCTCCCTCCCAGGTTGTAGGGGACCCAGCGGGTGAACTGACCGCATAGTTCGGGTGGCGAGCGCTGGAAGGGGGGCAGAGAACCAGGTGGACAGGAGGCCAGGGGAGGGAGCGGTCAGCATTATGGGAGGCGGCATCAAGGAAAGCCCCTCCAAAGAAGAGCCTGAGCAGGTTTGAAGGATGAATGTTTGCCAAGTGGACAGTGGGGAGAAGGGCACTGCAGGCAGCAGGCACGGTCCTGGCACAGGTGTGGAATCGTGAATCGGGCGTGATGGGCTTGAGGCACGCAGCACACTGGCAGGCGTGCGGCCCATGATTCCACGCCAGGCTCTCCCTGACCCTTCCGAAAACCCCTTCTGTCTGGCTCCCAGAGGCTGGCCCTCGGCCCACCTAAGCCCACCCCTCCCTCTGTTCTCTTGGGCAGGGAGACGCCAATGACAATGCTGCTGGAGCCAAAGCCCTCCCTGGAGGGGCAGGTAAAGGGTAGAGCTCCCGGGGGGGTGGGGGGCTCCCTTGAGGTGGGGCCACTGCTACCGAGGCAGGAACAGGGCTCCCTAAGGCCGCCACCGTCCCTCAGACCTCTGCCTCCACACTGACGTCGTCTGCTCCTGGCTTCCTGGCTGCCGGGCTGACAGTCACCTGCTTAAGGGGGGGGGGTTCTTTCACTCCATGCATTTGTTGAGTGCCTGTCTGCGCTGCCTACCACACACCCCAGACAGTTTCCATGATGACCCCAAGAGCTCGGGAGCCCATTCCCTGACTTGGTGGGTGACCCGGGCCATTCTCTGTACCTCTGAGGGATAAAGTAGGCAGGATCACACACTTAGTGAGCACCTACAGTGTGCCACGGACTCACCATGCACCCAGGACAGGTTGCTTTGCCTTTATGCAATAAAGGAAGGAACACACATTTATTGAGCATCTACTGTATGCCCTGTCGTGGCCCACATTTGTCAGCGAGGAAAGAGAACCAGAGGAAGATAAAAATAGTATCAGATATAAAGATCAACACCCACCCCAGCCCCCCCCAACCCCGCCCTAGTCTGCCTGGCAGCATATGGTCTCTTTCAGTCCCCGGGACAGCTCTGAGAAGGGGTCCTATTTGGAGACAATAACAGATGAGGCAGCTGAGGCTAAGGGAGTTTGGGGAGCTTGGCCAAACTGGGATCGCGTACAGCTGGGAGGTGGGAGAGGTGGATGGAGTTCAAATTCAAGTTGGGGTTCCTCTGGTGGCAAAGTGCCTGTGCCCTCATTCACAGCTCCCCGCCGGCCCCTGCTGGGCATGGTTGTGGGACAAATGTCCTCCTTCCCCCATCTGTCCAGGGAGGGCCGGCGCCGAAGGGCTTCTGAGCTCCAAAGAGGGGCATCTTTGTGGGCCCGGGCCAGGTGCTGCCAGTCCTGTCTCAGGTCTCTCCTGGGACCCTCCCCTTCCCCTCTCCACAGCCTGTGCTGCACAAATATTTGAGGAGCAGCTGCTTGAATGCCCGGGCTCCACGCTGTCTCCCTGGTTACCTGAGTTGGCCCTGTGTTTGCCGACCAGGGAGCCACCACCAGCCCTGTGGGGGTGGCGGGTTTTCAGCTCAGTTCCCCACACCCCTGTGCCAGGCCTTCACTCCTACACACTCTCCCTTGAATGCCTTCCCCTGGCACCCTCCCACCCCTGCCTGTGGAAATCCCACCCGGGCTCCTGGCACCCCTCCCTCTGGCACCCGTGGCATAATAGCTGAAACCTTTAGAGCACTGTGTGCCAAGCACTGTTCTAACCGGTTCACTAGCTTAGCTTAGTCCTCTCAACAACCCTAAGGTAGATATTATGAACCCCCCCCACACACCCGCCTTTCCACATGAGGAAACAGACGTAGAGAAAGTGACTTCCCAGTGTGGTCCAGCTGGGAGTCCAGCCAGCATCAGCTGGCTCCAGAATAGACGGTCAGTTGGCATCATTCAAAGGTTTTGGCATCGACTCGTGTCCCAGCTCTGCACGAGGTGATCTGGACCTTTTCTTCTCTGAGCCTCAGTTTCCTCGTCCATAAAATAAAGGTTGTTTTTGAAAAGTAAAAGCAATTGCTACCTAGGGCCTGCTTTAGCTTTTCTCCAGGCAGTGGCTCCCTAAGCAGGTGTCCATTTCTCCTGGCCTCCTGAGGAGAAGTCCTCAAAGGAGGACAGCGGGGTGAGGGCCATGATGCAGGGACTCGGATGCTCACCCTGACTGCTACTCACCAGCCACTGGCCCGGGCGAGGGACGGGTGCTCGGTGGAGGTGGGCCGACAGGCAGAACCAAGAGCATCATGGAAGGCTCAGGAGCCCTCTCCTCCAAGGCGCCCTTCCTGCCCCCAACCCCGCAGGTGGGGAGGCACATCTGTAGGGGCAGGCAAGGGGCATCCCTGGTGGCCACTGGTTTCCCACCCTGCACGTAGGCTGCAGCCCCCTCTGCTGCTCGAGCCGGGGTGCTTGCCTCTCGGCCTTCTTGCTGCTCCTGCTGGTGACTCTCGCAGCCCTGATCGCCCTGGTCGCCATCCTTGGACTCCCACCACGCACACCAGGTCAGTGTGGTCCACAGAGGGTGGTCCGGGCTTGCTAGGAGGGGATGGGGACCACAGAGTGATAAGGAACCCTAACGCTGCTGGCTTCTCCACGATGAGACACATCCAGGACTCTGAGCTGCCATTTGCACATCTGTAATATGAGTTATCGAGAGGACCCAGCTCTGATGTCACCTTCCTCAGGAACCCTTCCCTGACCCCTAGGCTGGGCGGCGTGCCTTGGCCCCCACGGCCCCCACACTTCCTGGGGGGTGCCGTCCATCTGTGTGTCTGCCTCCACCAGAGGACAGGGCCATGTCTGGTCCATCCCTGCTGCCCTGCCTCATGGAGCTAATAGTTTGGAGATTAATGGACATTAATCAAAGAAGCCCATTAAGGTCGGGTTAATAGGGGCTCTGCGAGTCTTGAACAGGGGCTCTGACCCAGGCTAGGAGTCAGGTGGGCAGCTTAAGAAGTGAAAGGAAGCGGGGCCATGAAGAAAAGGTGGGCACTGGTTAGTGGAGGGGCAACAGGAAAAGCCTCCAGGCACAGGGAAGGCCAGGTGCAGAGTCCCGAGGGTGGGAGGAAACGTGAGGAGGAGACACAGGAGGCCAGTGGCTACGAGGGCTAGAGCAGTGGGCAGGGCGGGTGCCCCAGGCCTCAAAGGCTGTACTGGGGAAGGTTCACCATCCAGAGCGCCATGGGCAGGGGCTTCAGCTGGGGCTGGGGTGTCATTTCTGAGAGATGGCTCTGTAGCCAGGTGAGGGGTAGAAAGGGACAAGGGGGAGCAAGGGGTAAAATCCCACAGTACTCTACACCCTTGTGCAAGAACACGGGCACCGAGTGAAGTGAACACGTGAGGAGCTGCACTCATGTGCCCATGTGTACACGCATGTGCGCCCGTGAGTGTATGTGCACGTCTGTGTGTGCATACCTGTCTGTATGAGAGTGTCTATCTGTGTGCATGAGTGTGCACATCTGTGTGTGTGCATGCGTGTCAGTGTGTGTACGTACGTGTGCCAGCGGGGATGTCTCTGAGACTCAGCCCCCCTCCCACTAGCTGAGACTGCTCCGGGAGGTGAGAGGTGGGTCCTGGGCACCCAAACACACCTGCGCAGGCCCGAGCCAGGGTGACCGCCCCACCTTGTCTGCCATTTTCTCTCCTTTAATTCTTTAGAGCAGCCCGGGGGCGGGTGTCCCCCCCAGTGGGATGGAAGGGAAGATGCTCAGCTGCCCACCATTCCTGGACACTGGGGAGCCAGCCCCAGCCTCGGGGAAGAGCAGGGTCAGCGGGCCTGGACTATTAGCCATGTGACTGGGCCTTGAACCTCTCTGAGCCTTACTTTTCTCATCTGTAAAATGGGGCTAAGGATGACACCTCCCAGAGCTATTTGGGGAAACAGAATACAAATGTCAAAGTGCTCTGCAGCCTGTAAAGTTGTGCCCCAATGTCAGGACTGTGGCATAATGGTCCCCAGCCAGCCCCAGTAGATTGCTTCTGACAAACTGACCTGGCACCAGGAACTCCATCATTATTAAAACGACTGCATTGACTGGAGCCCTGTCCTCAGGAGCTTCTGTGAGACTGTCAATAAGCTCTCAGTAAAGGAGGGAACCGTGAGTTACTCTGCACTTTCTGTGTTCTAAGGTTATTCACACAAAAGTTTGTATGTAATCTCCCAAGCAGTCCTGTGGGGTGTGTGCTCTGGTCCCCATTGTACAAACAAGGAATCTGAGGCTCAGAGAGGTCAAGACACCTGCCCAAGGCCACACAGTCGGCAAACGGTCAAGTGGGGCTTGGAACCAGCCCAGTATCCTCCTGGCCGCCCCCGCCCCTCGGACCAGCTCAGCGTGGGGCCTAGTTAGAGGAACTTGTGAGGACCACTCTTGACCCTCTGCAGTCTCCACCTGCCAACTCAGGGGCCCAGATCTGTGTGACGCTGATGAACAGGACGGGCTTCCTGTGCCACGACCGGAGGAGTTGCATCCCTGCCAGCAGGGTCTGTGATGGCGTCCGCACCTGTGCCCACGGCGAGGACGAAGCCGAGGCCATGTGCCGTGAGTACCTGCTCAGTCCTGCCCTGCCCCACGCGGACCCTCCAGGGCCCGTTCGGGGCCGCCCCCCGCTTCAGTTCTCCCTGCAGCCACTCTAGAGCTCTAGTGTCCCCAGACAGACCAGACGCCTTCCCATCCCCAGGCCTGTGCTTGTATGGCACCCCAGCGAGGAACACGGGTCCTCAGCCCAGCGCAGGCGCAGGCACACGTACGTGCCCACACTAGGAAGGCCTTCACTCCGCGCAGCTCCCCTCCCAGAGAACCCATATTCATCTTTCGAGGCAGAGTTCAAGCGTTAACTCCACCAGGAAGCCTTCCCTGACTCTCCAAGTAGGTCAAGGTCCCTCCTTGGGGCTCCCATAGCCCCGCTGCTTCCCTGTGTCCCAGCCGGACCCACATTGGCACATTTGCCACCCCCATCAGACTGTGAACCCCTTGAGGGCGGGCCTGGTCTGCTTGACCTGGGGGCCTCTGTGCCTCGCAGAGGAGTCTCTGAGATGATTCCCTGAACGGACGATGGAACAAGTGAATGAAAGAATGAATGAGTGAGTGAATGAATGAATGAGTGACTGAATGGGTCCCAGACCTTAGAGACCTGACAGTGCCCAGGAGAGAAAAGCCCCGGCTACATGGGCTAGGCATTTTCCACGTAGGAGGGAGAGAGTCTGGGGAGTTGGAGCGGGTGGGGTGGGGGAGTGGATGTGGGAAGGGTCACTGCATCATGGACCTTCTAGACTAGAAGAGATGTCAAAGGTCATCTAGTGCATGTCACAGCTTATGCCCAAATGTCTCCTAACAAACCCACCTAGCCTCTGCTTGCATATTCCTGGGATGGGGGGCTCACTACAGCCTGGGGCAGCTGCTCCCCTCATCACATGGTTTTCACGGGAGTGTCTCCCGCAGACTGAGTTTAGAGCTGTCCCCCTGTAGCGTCCTTGATTGGTTCCAACTCTCTTCCCTCATCTGAACCACATTTGAATCTATCTCCCGTGATGGTGGCACTGCATGGATTTGAACATCGCTTTCCTGGCTGCCATGAGTATCCTCTTGCCAGGGCCATACTCCACACTGCTATGGTCATGCCCCTCGGGGCTGGTTTTCTCCACCCCACCAGCACACCACAGGACACACACCAGCTGCCCTCGCCCCCCTCTTCGGTCAGGCTCTAGAAGCATCCGTGACATTTCTGGCCAGCCCTGGCTAGTCCAAAGAACAAAGGCTTTTCCCCTCCCAAAGGCCTCTCGTCATGTGGCCTGAGTTTGTGTTCTTTTTTGGTAGCCCCTTCACACCACTGCCTAACACAGAACCCACTTTCAAGAACGGTGCTCTGACTCCCTCTCTCACAAAGTCTGTGAACCCACATCCTCTGCATTCTGGCGCTCAAGTGCAAGACTTCACATCTATTCTTGTTACGTTCCTGTTGGAGGAGGTTTCCTGGAGGTGAAGGAACTTGAGCCTGGCCTTGAAAGTGGAATGGTTTTGGAGAGGTGTCAGAAAGGACATTTCTGGAGGAAGGAATAGTGCAAGCAACGGTGTGAGGCAGGCATGCCCCAGAGCTAAGTCGGGAATGAACGAGGGAGATGCCGCTCTCCAGCCATCTTGTTGGGCAGACAGGGAAAGAATCCTCCTCTCCCCTTGACTTGGCCTCCTCCCCAGGAAACCTTCTCCTGTGCCCTTCTCCTTGTGAGCCCGGGTTTGGGGGTGGCCAGGACAGTCCAGCTCCAGATAGACGTCTGGAGGCCAGATGTGGACTTCCCCCTGCTTCATCTGTCCCACTGTAGGGGACATGCCCCAGAGCCTCCCCAGCTTCCTCGTCGCCCACTGTGGAGACCCATCTTCCTGGATCTATTCAGACCAAAAGTGTGATGGGGCCAACAACTGCGGAGACTGCTCAGATGAACTGAGTCCAGGTACGGGTCTGGGCACAGGCTAGGCTGGGGCAGGGGGCTAGGCAGTGGCCAAAGGGCAGAGCTTGACCAGAGAATCTCAGAGGTTCCCCTGCCTCCCCTTCTTGCATTCCATGAAGAAGTTTTCCACTGCTGCTTGAATGCCTCCTGTGGTGGAGGGCCTGCTACCACTCCAAGTGGCTTCTCCTGGAGGCTTATTCTTCTGTGGTGGGACACCTACCTTCAAGGGCATGGATGAGAAAACCAGGGCCCAGAGGGTCATGGAAGGAATACGTACAAGGCCAAACTGGGATTTCAGCATGAGTTTCCCTCCTCTCCTCTGCACTTCCCAACCACCCTGTGAGGAAAGCTGGGCAGGAATCACCAGCCCCAAACTTATATGTAGGTAAACTGAGGCCAGAGCAGAGAAGGGACTTCATAGAAGAAGGGGTAGGAAAGGAACAGGAATGTAAACCCAGGTCTCCTGCCTCCCAAGTCTGGAGCTCTTTCACTGCCCCAGACTTTCCTTTCAATATCTTCCCCATTGTTCAATCAACAAACATGTGCCGAGCACTGGTACCAGTGCCTGGTGCCAGAAAGGGCTCAATGTGTCCGACCCCCAGGACATCATGCTGAGGCCAAAAGGACGTGCTGGGGACCTAGAGAGGGGGTTTTTTGAGGGGAGGGGTGCAGGTAAGAATCAAGGGAGACTTCTTAGAAGAGGCGGTATTCAAGCAAGCTTTAGAGAGTGGACAGGTTTCAACAGGCAGAAGCTGAGCGTGCAGGAAAGCACACTGGGGGCCCAGGGTACAGAGCAAAGGAGGGAAGTCTGTGAGGCATCCTCAAGGAGCCTGTCATAAGTCGGCTGGTGTGGCTGAGTCAGGGTGAGGGAGTGAGGACAGGCTGGGGGAGAAAATATGCTCCCCTTAATATCCAAACACTGGCCGTGTGCCTGGCCCTTGGCTTATCTTCCTTAATAACAACCTTGAGCCGAGGAAGAAACCGAGGCCCAGGCAGGGTGAGAGACTTGCTTGCGGTCACACAGCCTGTGATTTGGGGAGTCTAGATTCTCTCTGCCACAGGGGCATAAGGAATACAGTCAAGCCATGTCCGACGGGGTGGGGCTGTGGGGAGTCAGGGCTGCTCCGGCCACAGCAGCTCCCCTTCCGCTGTGCCCACAGTGACCGCATGTCCGCCCTGTGGCCCGGGCTGGTGGCGCTGCCCCTCCACCGTCTTCGGGTACTGCGGCTGCATCCCCAGGAGCCTCTGCCGCGACCTCGTGCAGCACTGCTCCGACTGGTCGGATGAGTACTCCTGTCCCGGACCCTGAGTGGGGCCCAGAGTGCAAGGCGGGCTGGAAAGGCACTGATAAGCCTTCACATGAGTGTCAAATGCAAGAACACGTGGGCAGGAAGGAGGCTTCAAGATCATTTAGTGGGATCCGCGCACCAGTGTCTCCGAATAAGAATCGCCTTTCCTGCTTTCAAGTTGTTCAGCCTCTCCTTGAATGCCTCCAGTGACAGGGGCTCACTACCAGGTCAGACCGCTCCTGACAAAGATGAAAGGGATCTGCGGTCATGATTTTAGGCATGTCTCTGGGGCCACACAGAAGGAAGCTGTTCCTCTGCCCCAAGACAAGCTCCAGATCCTGACCCTGTCACCCCTTAGAAAAAAGATAAAACCAAGCCAAGGAGTTCAGCTTTTATGGATGGCACATATATGTGAAGTGGATGCCACTTTCTGCCTCCTTGGGTACCCAAGGCAGATATTGCTGGGTTCACATGCAGCCTTAGCATTTTTCTCCACTAGTGATCCTAGTAGGCCCTGCTGATCGATCAGAGGAGATTGCACACGAGGCAGGGTACCTGCCATCCTGCCCATGGGAAGCCATCCCGGGAGGCTCTGAGCTGGAGAATAGAAGGTCAGGAGAAAGAGCAGCTTGAGGGGCTCCTCACTGCCCTTCTGTCCATCCCATTCTTCACCCCGCCGCTCCCCACCCCCCACCCCATGACCAGCTGCCCAGCCAAACAGCCCAGATTTCCTGAGGGAGGGACTGTATTTTGGTCCCGGAAGCCTGAGTGAATGAGCTGTTTCTCTGAATACTTTCCTGTTTCACGATAGCCAGACAGGCAAGGATGGGTATCCCCCCTTAAACATATGAGGAAATCGAGGCCCAGAAGAAGAAATGACTTGCCCAGGTGATACAGCAAAGTCAATGTCGAAGCTGGAACTGAAGCACGGTCTCTAGTGTCCCAGCTCTGAAGACTTTTCTGCTCCCAGTGGGATCATACCTTGGCCAGGAACAGAATTTCTGTGGGGTATTTAAAAAAGGTAATCTGGGGGGCACCTGGGTGGGTTGAGCGTCTGACTCTTGGTTTCAACTCAGGTCATGATCTCAGGGTTGTGAGATCAAGTCCTGCATTGGGCTCTGCACTGAGTGTGGAGTCTGTTTGAATTCTCTCTCTCCCTCTGCCCACAAATAAATAAATCTTAAAAAATAAATAAATAAAAAGGTGAAAATAAAGGGCGCCTGGGTGGCTCAGTTGGTTAAGCGACTGCCTTCGGCTCAGGTCATGATCCTGGAGTCCCGGGATCGAGTCCCGCATCGGGCTCCCTGCTCGGCGGGGAGTCTGCTTCTCCCTCTGACCCTCTTCCCTCTCGTGCTCTCTATCTCTCATTCTCTCTCTCTCTCTCAAATAAATAAATAAAACCTTAAAAATTTAAAAAAAAAAGGTGAAAATAAAAAATTAAAAACTTAAAAATCTTTAAAAAATTTAAAAAAAATTTGAAGGTCAGAATGTGGTCCACCCCTATTCTGAAAAAGAGACATAGAATTTGGAATCTGGCCAACAGGAGAGTTCCTGTTGAGGAAGACAGATATATCCCCATTGAAAATTAATAAAATATAGCAGTCTTGGGTGAGATTTGAATTGAACATAAGCATCTGAGAGACCGTTGAGCTCCAGTTCATTCTTTTCCTCACTGAGCAGCCTCCATGCACCTGCTCTGGGCCAAGGCAATGCCAGGCACCCAGGAGCAAAGAGACCTGGATCCCAGCTCACAAGGAGCACAAGGTCTCACGGAGGAGGCCCCTCACACATAGAGGATGGGGGGCGGGCAGCAGGAGATGCTGGGCTGAGGCCACCAAGGAGGTGCCTTTGGGGAGTGAGGACACAATCCCATCCCTGAGCCTGATGACTTGAGGACCAGCTCCTGGGACAAAGTGTCTCAGGGATCCTGGCTGAGGGACAGTCACCCTTGCCTAAGCTTCCCTCCAACTGCAGCCCAAGTGAGGCACTTGGGGCTCGCTCAGGGCATCCTCATTTCTGTTGCCTTGGGCTGGCTCCGGAGGGTAGGAGAATTTCCAGGGGTAGGGGTGGAGGAGAAGGGCATTCATTCCCCACTGAGGGGCCGATGTGAATGCAGATACGGGGGTGTGACTGGGTATAGCTCAACCCAGGAATGCGCGGCAGGCCAGAGTAGCCAAAGCATCGGCTGGGGGTAGGAGACAGTAGGAGATGAGGTGAGGAGGTGAACCGGGATGTGATCCTGCAGGGCACAGCCTGTCACACCTCCTCCTAAGGGCAGTGGTCGTCATCAGAGGCAATGAGCGAGGAAGCATCCTGGACCTACAATGACCTTTATATTACACTAGTCTAAGAAAGAGATGCCGGCACCCGGACCAAGTGGGCAGAGGGGGTAGCCAAAGGCTACTTACTGGTGGAACACAGGGACCTCAGGGAGCAGGGGGCGGGGAGGGAAGAGGGGGAAGGGGGAGATGGAGGAGTCCAGACCCAAGAAGGAGCACCAGTCCTCCCACCCTGGGCACGCCTTCTCCAACAGGATGCCAGTCTCCAGGGGAAGAAAGGGCTGAGCTGGTCCCTGAGGAACAAGAAAAGGTCCAGAGGCTCATTCCAGCACTCAGGTGGGACGTGTTCCCCATGCCCTGAGCACTAGTTGTTGAAAACAAGGTTGCTGGGAGGGGCTATGGGAATGTGCCCCTCGTATGCTCATACTGGTCAGCCTCAGTGGTTCGGGCAGCCGAAGAGTGCCTGGTTCCCGCCAGGAAAACGCTTCCTGCTGGTGCCGCGGATGGGCCCTGCTGGGGAGAGGCAGCTGGCCCCAGTGGTCCTCCAGTCCCGGGCTTCTTCAGTGGCTCTTTTCAGAAAAGTGCCAGAGGCACCGGCGCCACTGGTTGCCCGTCATTTTACCCTCCCCTCCCAACCAAACCCACCCACGGGCCCCTAGGGGTTAAGATGCTTCATTTTACAGGACGGAGAAGCAAGGCTAGAACAAACTTGTCCCAGTCCACTCAGCGTGTCCATAGCAGAGCAAGACCTACAAGCCAGGTTCCCAGGTGCACAGAGTTGCATGCAGTTGGCCCCTACTGAGTGTTTACTAGGAACCAGGCACTGTGCCCAGTAAGAGCTTTACCTTCCATTCTCACAACAGTGCTCCGAGGGAGGTAACCGTTTGCACACACGTAGAGAGGCCAGCACCTTCTGAAGTGTGCACGACTGGCTGGGGGCAGAGCCAGGAGTCTGGGGGCTCAGCTGCAGCAGTCCGCTGTTGAACGCTATGTTTCGGGAGGTCTGGGAAGCTTCTGGTAGTAGTGATACCTCCGCAGGGCCATGACGGAGCCCAGCGGGAAATAGGCCCAGGGCAGCCGAGGCTGAAGAGTGCAGGGAGGGCGGCCGGGAGCCGAGGGAATGTGAAACAGTACCCCATGGCTGCAGGGTGAGGAAGAGCCGCTGATGCTGGGCTGCAGGGAATGAACTTGACTCTGCACGCTATGTGATGCTGGCAGAGAGGTCTTCAGCAGGAGGAACACATTTGGTTCTTCCCTTCTGAGGAGGGGCTGAAAAGAAGGCTTTCTTCCGGGCGTCAGGAAGAACGATGTCATCGGCAAACTATCTTGCGGGTTCCTTGAGAAGAAAAAGGAGATCCAGAAGGTGAATGCCACTTGGAAACATTAAAGCTTTAAGCAGAAGAAAGGGGAGTGCCAAGCACTGCGCCAAGGGCTTTAATGAATATTAAAAGGCAGTATTTCACCAGCACTGAGTACATGCCAAGCACTATCACCAACTTAAAAATGTCTTGTCTCTTGTATCTCATTTTCCCTAATATACACAACCATCCCAGGCACCTGGTTTGGTTAGTCACACTTGACAGAGGCATAGAGAGACGGAGTTGCTTGCCTGAGACCACAGAGCCAGGATTGAACCTGGACAGGCCCAAATCCAGAGGCTGCCACAGCCCCTCTCTGATGTCTCGCTCTTTCGCAGCCCGGATTCCCTGGAAGAGAAAGCTGGAGCCCAGGCCAGGGAGCAGCAGCCTGTAAATGGGAGGTGGCTGGCGCTGGCAGAATGGCATTTGCTCTTTTCTCTTTTATCGGTTCTTCCTTTCAGAAAGAAGCAGGTGCACGGCAGCCTCCTGAACAATCCTCCATAAGCTGGGTCCAGAAAGACACAGAGCCCAGGGCAGCCAGCCAGGCCCCTCCCCTGGTTCACATCAGCAGAGCAGGGCTGGTTGGGGTGGCCGGGGGGGGGCATTGAATGCAACAGCCTGCATGGGGAACCCAGGCAGCCAGCATCAATATTTGCCATCTCCCAGCTTCCCTGGCCTCCCCTCTGCCTTTGAGATCAGTACTCTGAGCACAACAGGTTCTTTGCTGTGCAAACACACAGGGATAGATGAATGGAATTTAAAGAGGCTCAGCCTTCGCCCCAGGGTTTGGACTAGAAATCTGGTCTGGTTTAACCCTCTGAGGTCACTGTTTGCTTAGGACTCTCTGTTCATCCTTAGACTCACTGAACCACAGATGTTGGAACTGGGGAGAAACTCATAGCCCAGCTACGCTTTCGACAAGAGGACACCGGGACCAGCTCAAAGTGGCACTGTCTGGTGGCCATCACTGGGATTCTGAGGGCCACCCAGCAACTCCAGGTCAAGGTAGAAGAGATTTCTCTGAATCCTCTTTTAAAAAAATAATTTAGTAAGATATAATTTACATACAGTAAATGCATAGATCTTAAGTATATGTTAAGTTCAATGAGGTTTTTTTTAAGATTTATTTATTTATTTTAAAGAGAGTGAGAGGGAGAGAGCACACGCACACAGGGGGAAGGGCAGGGGGAGAGAATCTAAAGCAGACTCCCCGCTGAGTGGGGATCTGGGCACAGGGCTCGATCCCACGACCCATGAGATCATGACCTGAGCCAAAACCAAGAGTCGGACACTTAACCAACTGAGCCACCCAGGCGTCCCTTAAGTTCCATGAGTTTCTAAAAACAGCTTTATTGAAGTATAATTGACCTCCAATAAGTTACA